ATTAAACTGTGACATAGATTTTGATTAATTCACCTCATCTTTCTCAACTGATTTTCATCAGATTAGAAAATAAATTGCATTTACCTTCAAGGAAATACCCCCTGCCTCTATAGCCAGTGGCTCGCTTACACAACCCCATTTATTAACCGATTCTTGGTCATAGCCCCTTTATCAATGACAAGGATTATTGTCTCCTCTGGATGTGGAAAAATATAGTACAAAAATGTATATAACAAAGGAGTGGTGTCGATATGGAGAACTGAATTCAACAATGTTTTTCTCTAAAACCAATCATTGAAAACATTCTGTAAAAAAACATGGTATTTTATGTAATGTTGACTGATTGACAACAATTTAATGCGAAAATTATTTAGAAATATTTTATATAACTGTTTTTGTTAACATTTTTTTTTTTTTTAGTGCAATTGTTTTTGCTCCTTTCTACCAATTCTTGAGAATGAAATAAAATGTCTTTCCGAACCTTGTTGGAACCAAATAGCATATACAACATGTTTTTAGACCTCTCAATATTATAGTTATACAAAGGAATTCAAAAAATTAAAACAAAATTCCCCCAAAATAGATAAAAATCAAAATAAACCTTTTATTTCATTAACAAGATACTTTTTTAAAATCAACCAAAATTTCCTTTGTACAATATTGAGAGATCTAAACATGTTGTGTTTATGTCGTTTTGTTCCAATGAGGTTCGGAAAAATGTTTCAAGTCACTCTGGAAACATGATACCAAGAACAAAACAAGTATTTGATGTGTTTTCTAAATTTTTCAAATTATATTGTTACCATTCAAAAGATGACCATTAAATTGACGATGTGTTAATTTTTGGTTTTAAGAGAAACGTGTGTTCAAAAAATTGTCCATATCGATACCACTCCTTTTGTAACTATGGCTCATCAGATACATGTAAGTGTAATGATGGAATTCATTAACCAAATAATAACACTTTAAGAGCTTCCTTTCATGAATATTATAGCACTACAGAAAAGAATAGTCCAAATGGGGATATAAGGCCAGGTAAAATAGCTTTTTGGGTAGTTTTTGCTATTTCAGAGAAAAGAAGACATAAAAGAGAGACATAAATAAAGATTTTCAAAGATTTCAAACTGAGAGATTCATATGAGTATATTATTATAGGTCCTTATTATTTGCTGTGTGATCTTCCACTTTTTTTTATTTTTTCTATATTTTCATATAAATGATTGCTTTCAATGAGGGATAGAGTACACATAGGAATACTAGTTTGGGCATTCTGGTATTCCACAATTTTATAGTATTCTGAGTGGCAAGGTTGACAGAATTGCTTAAAGACATATTTGGACCAGTTAAATACAGTCAATACACCATCAATAGGATCTTAAAACATTAATCAGAAATATAATTTCCTGCCAATCTGATTCCAGGCTCATTCCTTGGAGCTTTTCATTCTTCTTAAGATGCATGTGTAAAACTAGGAAGAACCTACGGGGAAAAATCAAGATGTATAATTTGATTCGAGATGTCACTTATATATAAAACGGTGACACTATATTTAGATAGCGATCCCTTTGTTTTGATACGTATAAGCCTGGATATCCCTATATTTTCTCTCTTAAATCAGGATAAAGTTTAAATGAAATACCAGATATGTCCTCACAAGTCAGAGATTAAGTGGGTATAAGTTAAGTGAAATAATCATCTATAGATGACTTACTGCTCGTAATTATCAAATCATTATCTCAATGATACCACACTAATGAGGTAAAACATGGTCCAAGGTATATGTGAGAATTATCGCCTACCTACCATTGGTCAACATCATTGGTCAACAAAACAATTATCTACTCTTTGTTAAATAATACATTCATTAATGTAATGAACTGAAATGCACTCTTCCATACTTTGTATGACCGCCATTTTGAAACTGAAACAGTAGTTATCAAAATTGACAACTAAAATCACCTGAAATCATTGCTATTCTATCTTTTATGAAATGCTTTTAATCATCATAATTACTTCCTTTTCAACTAGAATTATATTATGGATATTTTTTCTTCCTTCAGAGTTTCAGAGCCCCAGGTGTAAAATTAGATTTCTTGGAAGGCTAAGAAATTAATTCAATAGTTGACCAAAATGTAAATGATGCTAAATGAATGCTAACTCAGTTTAGTCCTTAGTTAATCTTAAATTACTTTGGCAGGCTACATACTGAAAAGACATCTCGAAAGTTTTACATTTATTCTACATATTATATTTTTCTTATTTGGTAGAACACCCATCCACCATTGATCTAAAAGGATTTTTGTAATATTACTAGTAACTAAAAGCAAGTACGTCTATCTCTATAGATAGAGGTACTTGCTAAAAGTGACTGTTACATCAATGAATATAATTTCAAACATGAATCTTTTTTTCAGGAGTCCCAGATGGTGAACACAAGGTCCATGACAAGATAGATCTACAGCGTTTAGAACAAGATCCAGCCATGTTGGGAGTCTTAATTGACATCCTGGAACAAGTTGGAAAGAAATGAATATAAACATTTGACTCTAATCAAATCAACCTAGACTATTGTCAGCCTAGTCCTGTGTTCAAGTCAAACATCTCCAGTGATTTGTCAAAATTAAGCGTCATGCCTCGTTCATTTGTCTTAACACCCATCAGATATAATTGATAACTAATTCAAATAAAATAGTTATAAACATTGGTATAAATTGAAGTTAAACCTAAATTGTGCTGAGCATACGGGGAGGGGGTATACTCACTGGACAGATACGTGACCTCCTCAAGGGAGAATCTCTAGAAATCCACGATGTTAGAGACACTCATTAGAAGAGATTGTCAAATGCAACTTTCTTAAATCAAATCCAGCATGATTCTTGTTGCTCTAAATGCCCAGTAAACGGTGGGCATACTGATTACTAAAGATCTATCCGATTAAAGTAAAGACATGAAACTGTACCCTCCAACAGCTAAATATTCCTCAAGACAAGATAATTATGTTACCGAATAGGTCAAACTATTGAAAGAAAGGCAGAACCATCATGGACTTAATATCTGTTGTAAAAATGGGATGATCAAAATATTTGACTACATGCAGATTCAAAATAGATTTGAATGATGTATCGTGCTTGCATACAGGACTACATCATGACTTTTCTCAGATTAAATACAGGAATAAATCATAAAAGTCGTCACTTCAGTATTCTATTCTACTTAATGTGAAATTCTATATACTGTACCAACTATAAATAATTTCATCTCAATCTTCAATAAAAAATAAACGCTAATAATAATTATGGAATTTTATGTTCAGTTGACTTATTTTTATCTATACTGGCACTGAAATTATTTGCTTGGTGTTGATATAAATAGAGGATAATTTATGAGTTATATGATTTTATCCATATATGGTAATTGATATCTGTTGAGCGAAGGTAGGCAGATATCAATATCAATATCCAGGAGTGGATAAAAATTATATCATGAGTAAATCATAAGATGTTCTTTTTAGTCCATAGTTTAAATGATTCAAATCCAACTTCCAAATGACTGATCAGTCATTGTTACTGTCAGCCTCCTTTTGAGTGAAAATCAGTGAACCATTGGAAAGGGGACAGTATCTCATTGAATGGTTAAAAGCCAAATTCAATGGCTTAATGAATGCTTGCCGAAAATAAAACATTATTCCACTGTTTAAATTTTTTTTATTTTGACATGATATCCTCTGAATATCACAGTAACTATGGAATAAACAATGAATTTTACAATTGCCGAAATAAACTTATTTTTCTCATAAGATACTGGTACGGAGTAAGAAATGAGGTATGAAAGACCTAATATATGATGTCAGTTTCATTATCAATGCAGAAATTCTTTAGGGAAAATCTGATAAATGAGGTCTACAACATTTGCAATAGTTTATTTTAAGATATTATAAATATAACAAAGACCTTGATTCCATGAATTATCCCAAATGTATTTAGACCTTAGATTTCATTCTGGGCATTAATTCAATTTTCTGATTTCAGCCTTATCTCATATTTTCCAATACTTTAGTTCTCAATTATTAGGGCATGGAATATTGTTTATGTTGTCATAGCATCCAAAGGTTGCCATGGTAACATAAATAGTTATGTTCCATAAGGTAAACGCCTCATAAAGCTAGATTATTTAAATATATAAGCTGTCCACAGACTATCCAAAGTCAGTAGCTCTAAGAGACTTTCAGTAGAGGCAGATGTCCAAACAAAATTTGAATTTGCTACCTGTGTTCACTTTTTAAAAGCATTTATAGAAATTTTTAAAAGTGATGCAACATAATCTGTTGTGGACTGAAAAATATTTCATTTTTGAATTTGAATTTCAATCAGTAATATGTCTCAGAATTACATAATTTTGTAGTTGTTTAAGTGTATGGAAATAAACAATCTGAACACATAATTTTCATGCTGTAAAAAAACTACCATTTAAACATTAATTTTTTCAACAGTGCTTGGGACATAATCGACTGACAGCTGAGTTCTTACTAAGGGAGTCAGTATCAGAAAATTTCATGAAGTTTAGAATTTCTAAATAGTTTGTTCTCTTTCTAAGACATCATGATTCAAAGCAATACTTGATTTAGGAATCATAAAAGCAAAGCTTCTGGAAAGACGTGGAGTTTAATGTCACAAATCTTGACAACATTTCTGACATATTTCAATCGTGCAAGTGCCTGAATAGACTCCTCTAAGCGACATCAAGTTAGATATATCCATATTTGTACAGAAAATCTTCTCAACAGAAGAACAATTCATAATGCCTTAAGCGGTTAGCTATTAATATCCGGATGATTAAAAAAACAAAACTTATTGTTTGATTTGTAAGCAGCTGTTATTCTTGCTTATTATTCATCAGAAAGAGAAATCAAGTTGCAAATGTCACAAAAGTAAAGTTTTGAAGTGAGGAATAGAGTCATTTAGAGTGGAATAAGTGAGAAAAACAAGTAAACAAACATGCAGTCAAGACTCAAAATGCTGTACAATCAAAAACATGTACTTTATTTAATATTTCCTGAGATATGGAGTGAAATATGAATGACCAAACGGACAGATGGACAAACAGTGACTTTTCAGCATGAGGCATAATGTTTAGAAAATATTTGAAAATGCTTACTTAATTTCTTTTTCATTATTAGGGTAGGGTGTTATTGTGAGGCCTTTTTCTTTATTCCTCAAAAGATTTCACACATTTCAGCTATATTTCACATTGAAAAAAAACACATCCTATTTGAAATGCCTGCGTGTGAAATCTTGTGTTATAAGCTTGTTCCTTTGACCAAATGGAAATAAAGAACAATAGTAAATCATACTGAATGAAATTCTTACCCGTAATGACCTATCATAAGAGGCACTGAAGACCTTTGTGCCTGAGGGGGTTTGTAGGGCTGCAAGGGCATAGACTGTCCCATTATGACCCATAAGTGTTGTAATCTGTTGGAACCCATCCAATTCCCAAACCTGAAAGTCAAGTACAATGCACGTGAACACTTTTCAACTTGAATGTCATACTATGTCATATTGCTATGGGCTTACTATTAGATGCTAATTTAGAGCCCATAATATTGATATATACTTGTATTTAATCAATGAAATAGTTTTGACAAAAATTCCAGTGTTTAGGAACTTAATCATCAGCATCATACTACAGAAAGAAGCATATTGTTTGTTTGTTTGTTTATTTATTATTTGAAATACACACATGTATACATGTATATATTAATTTGAATCTTCATTTTATATTAAGACATGTCAGTTACAATATACATGTATGTACATGTGACATGTACAATATACATGTATGTACATGTAGTAATATAGTTTAGTAAAGGATAAACTATCTGTAAGTGATTTGCAAGTGTTCACTGATTCAAGGTCATACAAGTGAACACCGTCACTGTAGTCTTGAATTGTACAGGTTTTTGACCACTCAGTTAAACATGTTCCTTAATACAACAATCAAATTAGTCTTGCCTGAATCAGGAATTAAATAGGCAACTGCGTCATAGATAATCTACTCTTTCAGCACTGAGCTTCATAGGTAGACTTATTAACAGTCATTTAGACACTGTATGACGTAGAAACATCATTACTTAACCCGCAATTATAAACAGAGTAGTCAAATTACCTTTAAACGTTTTCATGATTAGATAGAGTATGACGAAAGTGTCCCCTACAGAGGCTGACAAATCTATTATATACATGATAAATGATTTTAGTGATTTTTCTTTATTACACATATTTCTAATTTCATAAAAGCATTAATACAGACATTGCATTTAATACATAAGACAAAATAGAGAATGTAAAACAGGAGTTAGAAAACGAGGGGTTTATCACAATAGAAGTAAATAAACAAATAACATACAAATACTTCATTGTATTGAGGTGACTGAATACCTGTGCATGTTTCACAAGTGATAATTTGCAATATTGTTAAAGTGCAATGGGTATTCACAGAAAATAGAATGAAATATTTGTTTTATGATAATCCTATTTTCCTTAAACATATATAATTCTGAAGGTACATGTAGCATATAATGTTTTAGATACAGTATATTACAGTATACTTTGGCAACTATGGTAACTTACATGGATGCAGTTCTCATATGTCCCACATAGAATGTGGTGACTAGTAATAGCTATAGAGTTGATAACTATGGTAACTCACATGGATGCAGTTCTCATATGTCCCACATAGAATGTGGTGACTAGTAATAGCTATAGAGTTGATAACTATGGTAACTTACATGGATGCAGTTCTCATATGTCCCACATAGAATGTGGTGACTAGTAATAGCTATAGAGTTGATAACTATGGTAACTTACATGGATGCAGTTCTCATATGTCCCACATAGAATGTGGTGACTAGTAATAGCTATAGAGTAGACACTTCCCCCAGATGTTTCCAAGTTGCGCACACATTCTAATGTTTCCAGATCCCATATCTTGAAATAAAACATTGATTATGATATCAGAACCCAACAGTGCGAAATGTGCAACACATTTATGTTATACAAGTTTCATATTATCACTTAAAATTGGAAGCTGTAGCAATATGTCCCCACTTCTTGAGCATGACATAATGACGTAATTTACAAAGTACTTTGTTATATTCAACAGAGAGTTAAGGAGTTACATGACAGACAATGAATGCAATTAATTCATAGTAAGGACTGAAATTATGAGCATTTGAAGTAATTAGCACTGTGTCATCTTGTTCGGTGTAATTATCCAAAATGATGCATATGAATAATTGCTCATATAGTGCTTACCTAAATCAGAACTTTGAAGCCATTATATTGTATGGTTTGTACTTGGAATGAAGCATAAGAGTGGTAAGATGTTTTAACTGGGTTTATATGGTAAAGATTTTTTCAATGGAGGCGAAAAGTGTAAACTTTGAAAACTATATCCTCAACTCTACCGTTTATGTTCCTGAGACAGTTATTTAGCTGAATAATGTTGAAGAACATTGCTCAATTAATGAGAAAAACAGACAAGGGACAAAATAAATGTGACCATCAAAGGTGAGGCATCACAAAGGCTCAGTTGACATGAAAAAATATAATGAATATAAACCAAGCAGCACAGAAATCACAAAAGACCCCTAAAACATAAACTATTTCAACTGATGAAGTCAATATTTTTTATATACCTCTGAGGTTTGGGTTTTAAGTATACCTTGATAGTTTGATAGGATCCGCTGTAAAGGTGATTCTGTGATGCAACAAGGGCCCGCACCCAGTGATTGAGGCCTGTGATTTCTTTCTTCAGTTGATAATTATGGACATCCCACACCTAAAACATTAAAATAATTTGATGAATCAGCACTTCTATGGAATGGAAAAGTATGGAAAATACAAGTTACAAGATTGGCAAGTTACACCCCTAGTTACTTTTAAAATCATTCAATTTCATTAATAAACAAACTTGCAGGCTCTAAAATGGGTTTGAAACATGAGTGCTCTTCATTTGTCCCAGTTTTTGTCATAAAACTAATAAGAGATGCATATAGCACATACTCATCAATTTGGTTAGAAAGCATCAATCTTTTCTTCATATCTTAAAAAATAATAAGTAAGGATTGGATTAAAAGTGACAAAGTTTGTGCAACTTGAGTAAAAAATTCTGTGACTTGTTACCTCGCAAGTCTAGATGGTCTAGAGAGGTTGTACATGTATAAACACTATTACACCTTTTTTGATTTGTCCATGAAGAGGATGATCTTTCACTACACGAGTGAATGCAAAATACAATTCAATCTATAAAAAAGTAGAGCTAGGCAATCACTTGATGGAGCCTGAGTTTACCTTGATACATTTGAGAGAGCCTGAGAAGAGCATGTTCCTCGCTGACACCAGTGTACAAACAGGATTATCATGGGCCTCAATAGAGGTAATCTTCTCAAACGTATCCATATTCCAAACCTAGAATAAAGACATATGGTTTCATGTTCGAAGTATTATACAGTATGATATAGACTAATAGTAAATATGTCAATATTTAAAACCTCAAAAATTAAACACTTTTATGCAGTCACATATATTAACAGGAGACCTTCTTTTTTTCGAAATTTAGATTAAAACTCAAGGTTGTGAATCTCCATATACAAGTATGATGTAGCCTAATGAAAAATAAGCCTCATTGGACATTGCTCTTTAGATCTTCCCAGAGTCAGATGCCCCTTATATAAAGTAAATGTTACATCCATATTTGTTTATACAGAGCAAATAACTACTATTCTCCCAACTAGTCCATACTCATCTAGGCCATGTAAATGGAAAGGGACAAATTTTGGGGACCATTATTTTTGCAGTACCACTGTGAAGTAGATAGGTATACTCACGACAATTGAGCAATCTTGTGACCCGCTATACAGTTTGTTACCAAACACACATATTGTTAACACTATGCCATTGTGCCCATCCAGTGTCTTAATGCATTTGTAGTTAGTTGTAGTGTCCCAAACCTATATGAAATATATCAGAAGTTCAAAACTATCAAATGTTTACACTATAGGGACTTTGTAACACAAATATATACATGTAGTATCATACCGATGTATTTAAAAATGCTGATTACCTTGACTGTTTTATCAGAAGATCCACTGAGGAGAAAGTCTCCATGTACACATAGACACCAGACAGGTCCCTGGAGAATACAGAGAATAAGAGTTACTTTTGCACAAATCCTGATCCATCATATCCTCATACATATATGTACATCCATCATTATTTCAGAAAGCACATTCCATACTTGTTCAATCAATAAAGGGTTCATCACAGATCATACAAATAAATTTCCAAAAAGTCTAAATTTTTGGTTTTTCTTTTATCATTCCTTCTCATGCTGATTTCCTAAGGTCTCAAAAGCTCATAATTTATTATAATTTATGGAATTTTTACCTGGTGACCAACAAATGTTCCCCTGCACTTGAATATCTGCTGTGGATCAAATGCTACAAAATGAAATATGTTGAATTAAACCCAAATAATAACAAAAAATAAAAAAATTATTACAAGGAATGGGATATATACAATACATAACTTCAACATGTACTTTTGACATGTCATTCAAACTGAATCATGCTCTTTAGGAGAAATAATTCATATTTCAATTTAACATCATATTTACTCGATATAGGTCAGAAATAAGCAAAGCTCACCTCCTGCCATCTGTAAGCTCATGTTTAGTCTGCCCCCTAAATGGTTTAATTCATCCTATAATACAATTTCAAAATACTTAGATACTTTGATATAAGTATCAGGTATACGTATGCAAATCATTGTTCTGAATGCAATTTGCAGAAGTATAGCATCTACACATAACCTGGGAATAAATATCTGAAGTACATTAACCTGATATTCTGTCAACATGATACTTAACTTATATATTAGAGAAACAGCATACAACATGGATTCAGAGGAGCACTTCCAGAGATTCACTTTTATATGTGTTCAATTAAGGTAATGTATTTCCAAAGTTACACACTGTAACATTTTTTGTAAATATTGTATATAAAGTATTTGCCTCTTGGAGTCAGACAATCAAAAAATCCATTCATTCTCTCATTTGGCCTTATTCTTAAGTTTTCCCTCCATATATATGGCCGATGACTTATCTAGCACAGCCTACCTTTCGTCAGTTCATCACAGGAAATTGAATAGAAATCCCCATCTCTCATATCATGCAAATCATTTCTCCCTCCCATTCGTTTCAAAATCCAACATGGAAGAGGCAAATACCGTAGTTGTTTGTATTAAATAAATTTATCAAAAAAAAGGTACTTACATGTATGATTTCTATGTCTCTCCTGTTATCAACTAATTCTGAAGTGATCTGTTTGTTTGTTTCTCCCAACAGGTCTTAAATGAGAAAGTTTAACATTATGTTTCTCATTAAACATTAAAATCGTGATTACTCCTTTTCACGTTATACTTTAGTGGTCTTTGTCATACTTCCAAACATCCATAATGCATTATTATACCGCAAAACCTTAAATCACAGCGTTAATCCCACCCTCAGTTGACATGAAAATTGAATTTAAAGAGGGACATGGGGTATAAATAGGAGGCAGACTAATGGAACAGCCAAAATAACTGTATTTTCGATATTTTCACAAAGCTGGTCAATTTTCTCATATTTCATATTGATTGAGAAGATGTATTGCTTCCAATTTTGTTATGTGTATCTTTCAATGTTTTTAAGTTCATATTCTGCAGTTAGATTTCAACTTCATCATTTTGTTGGATTGTGATAGGACATTTAAAAACAGTAATAACATTTTTCAAATTTAAAAGTCCTCAAACTTAGCCAATCATGTAACCTGATATTTTAATGAGAGTTGCTAGCAAGTTTAAAGTCGTAAAACTTACTTAGTTTCATTTCATTGTCTTTTTCAAGGCGTTCAAACCTTTCAGAGAGGGTGCTTAATATTGCACGTAGAAAGTCAATCTGTTCATCTTTATCCGCCACCTGCTCAGCTAAATCTGTCAGTCGGTCATCTGTACGTTGAATAAAGTCCTTCATGCCTTCGAACTTGCACTCGTGTAAGTGAATATCAAATTCCTCTTGTGTACCATGAAATTCACAACTGAAACAACATAAGTCTTTCTTTTAAGTTTCAAAACATACAACTTCCTGGATCTATTATTTGTCTTTATCTGTATAACATATATCTGAAAGAAATTGCTATCTTATTCCATAATGTGATGACCATAAGGATCATAATATCAAAGTCATTGTTGCTTCAGCTCCTACTCCGATGGATCTATAGACACCAATTATAGCTGGGTCAATGTCCCTTTTTAAAAGTTTATTTCTGGACATCTGGACATCAGCTATGATGGATTATTTTCAGCAGAAATTCATATTATCGTATTCAAACATAGCTAGGCATACATTGTTACTTCTGACTATCAAAATACATTGTATAATTGTTCATTGTCTCACAGCCAAACTTATTACATTGTATGCAGGGTTAAACAAACAATCTTTTTATTAAATATAAGGTACTTTGTGCATGGTCTCACAAATTAGGCATGCATTTTCATGCTTTAATCTTTTAATATACAGTGGTGTTACCTGCTGTAGGGAACTTACCCGTGTTTATGATGAGGACACTTTACATGGTTGCAGCTTTTAATGTGGTCATTTAAATCCTATAAAAAAGAATAAAATAAGATGTATAAAATAACATACATTTACCAGGACACTCGTATGTACATATATTTGGTCTGAGCTTTGAGAAGTATTTCAATTTCATAACAATGAATTTAAACAACAAAGATAAGGATACAACCCAAGTGCATAGTTACATTCTTGTGTGAACATTACACCGTTTGTTAAAATATCTAAATCTAACTGTTTTCTTTCTTGCTGATTCCATAACTTTCAGCCTTACTTTTTTAATAAGTATTGGGCAGTGGGGATTGTTAGGGCACTGTACAGGAGCGTAATCACAATTATCTTCGTGGTCCCTGAAAGTATAGATTTACAAACAACATTTCACTTCAGCTCCTACCCTGATGTACTCATAGTGACATCTATAAGTATTTCTGAGTAGAGATTGTGAGAGGTGAAGACATTCATATTCAATACTCATGCTCTGATACACTCCAAGAGACATCTTTTGCAAAGCTTTTTATTTTATCAGACTATGATAAAGATTCTTTTGATATTGACTAACATTAGAAGAATGAAGAACAACATCTCGACAATACTGAATGATGGATCACTTATGATGACATCTATTTTATCATTCACACATAATGCATTGGCTTTTTGTAAGTGAATTGTAAAGGTTATTTCATGAGTTGAAATATGTTTATAGTTTACCAGTTTATATTCAAAAAGTCAGTTTTATTAACAGAGAAGGGAGGGAGGGAGGGTAGGGGTGTAACAATTAACAAAGTGGATTGTATATAACATTTGAGATGAAATCATCTGATGGAACAGTTTTATATAGAATATATTTCATGAGAACCAAGTCCCATTGATTAACATGTCTATGAACACTCCTTGTGAAGAATACCTATCTACAAGGAACAATATTGGCAGTATAAAATGTGTTTCATATTCAAAAGTTTTACTATTGTAAAAATTTTATAAGAACCTACTTTCTTGAATTCAGTTTACATGTTCCAGGGCATCCACTTGAGTCAACAACATAACCTGATCCATCTTCTGATAGTTTACAGCCGTATCTGCAATGGATCAGAAGGCCCCCCACTTGTTCTGATACCGCCAGATTAGGTGCTAGGATATTTAACTGTGCTCGATCTGTAGGACATGTCACTTTAAAAAGTAAGAAAAAATATTAATCCCAAGTAGTAGAGCATTAAGTCTGGCTGGGGTGAAATGAGTTTCAACTCCTGGAAAAAGATAAGATTCTGTTTTCCCATTTTCTAATGTTAATGCAGTGAGTCAGACTTATTTAAAGTAGTCCACATAATTTGCTGAAATTAATCATGTCCATAATGGAAAAGCTACTTCAACTTATATTTCATTTTCATCATATAATTCTTTTAACTTACCATCAGGACGAACACATCGCTTGCAGAATGAATGCTACAATAAAGACAACGTAAATTATAATATTATTAATATGCATTGACAGTGTAGTCTAGTGTGTATATTTACCCCTGACATTTGCCCTGATCAAGAAAATCAAATTTGTATCTAAAAGCATATAATGCATGCTTTCAATTATGCAACTGATCCATTATGTTAACTTTCACAGGATTTTGACGATGCAAAAAGTAAAGGAAGAAGACAATCCAGGGATTTTCTTTTTTACCAATTTGGTCTAGAACTGGATATACATGTATATGCAAATATTTGGTGACTCTTATAGAGAGAAAAAAAAGTAAATCAAGCAAACAGACATTTTAAACGCAATTTTAGACTTACCCCACATGATGTTATTACAGGATCGTTAAGGACTTTATTACAAAGATTACAGAACAGAGTCTTGTTGGGTTCTTCTACAAACACCAGCGGATCCTGAAACATGTCTGAACTGATAATTTGGGGCTTGCTCTAGCTAGCAAAAGTTTAGAAATCATGATAGATATCCAAATAAAATGTTAATGTTAATTTATGTAGTTTTATTAATACGAGGGTTGATCCAAAAGTTCCGAACCGTTTGCTCTAAAAATCTTAATATTTAATGAATATTGTTCCTATTTGGCCTCAACCACCCCATATATAGTAGTTTCATTTTTTGTAAAAATAAACAATTAATTTGACAAGTAACATAGGTATCTGGTTACCATAGCAACATGACAACAGGGTATGTGGAGCAAGAGAATAGAGTTGGAAAAAAGTTGACACTTAAAGGGTGTATACAGGGTACCAAATGTATTTCAAATTTGCTAGCCATGCCTATTAATCAATTATTCTTTCATTAGACCAATTCTATATGTGTGATCTGATATCATACAATATAGTTGGCAAGTGTAATGTCATTGACCAGAAGAATGCCTTGCGCCAAAAGCAGTCAAATTAAAGCATGAAATCCAGTTCGATTTCGACAATGCGCAATTCCATACCTCTATACTTACTCAAACGTTACTCAAACGTTACTCCTCTGACGTTTATCTTTATAGTGACCTGAAGTACAAATTGCAAGCCAAGACATGCTTTTGAATATTGAATTAAGTCTTGCTGTTCTTGAGTGGCTTTCTGAGACAGATAATGGTAAATTTAAAGATGTGTTTGATCAAAGGGTCAGCAGATATACTAACTTAGTATATCTGCCGACCCTTTGATCAAACACACAAGTGTAAATAAGGGGATAAGAGACTGTTTTGCGAAATAAATCAAGAACTAACAATGAAATATGGACAAATTGAAAAAATAATTGGTTAATAGGCAGGACTGACACATTTGAAATTTGGTCTTTTAGAATCAACTTTTTTCCACCTCTACGTTATATCGTACTCTTGCTCCACAACCCTGTTGTCATGTTAGTATGGTAACTAGATACCTGTGTTGCTGGTCAAATTTATTGCATATTTTTTACACAAAATGAAACTGGTATTGATTGGGTGGTTGTGGCCAATTATGAACAATTTTCATATAGTATTAAGATTTTTAGAGCAAATGGTTCGGAACTTTTGGATCAACCCTCGTAGCTATTAATATAAGTACAGGTAGATATGTGTACATAAATGACAGTACATGTATATGTACATACATGTACATTAAACTGAGTTCCAGGGCAGAATCATTTTTGGTCTGAATTTATATAAATCCATTTTCTCTTGTTGATGAGGAGCATTCAACAGATACAACAACAATTATATATTCAAAATAAAATGTCCCAATTATTTAGACAACCCTGTATATATACACGCACAATATACACCCTATATTTCACAATATACAACATTAATAAGTAATATCAGAAGTACAAATGTGCAGATTTAGATAGCATTACTGTACAAGTGAACTATTTCATGCACTAAATAAAGCAAATTGGAATTGTTTTCCCCATTAATTTACTGTTCTTGAAACTTCAGGATATGCTAGAAGTGTTTCAAGATAACAGGTTTACTAAAACTAAACATGTACATGCAGTAATTTGTTAATCTCTTTTGCAAAAACAAAAACTAAATTTTAAAATAAGGACGTGATTCAAATTACAAATGTAACGGTATGCCAAATGAAGAATGAAATGTTATTTGTTTATCTCCATTTTAAAATGTAAGGATCCATGTCTTATTTGAGAAATTCTCCAATTTAAGATCTTTAGGGGATGAAAACCGCATCTTTTATTTGAATTTATGGGACAAGGGGCCTTGAATCTAAGAAACTAATTAAAATGCAACAAGTATAAAAAATTTATTAATGTTTGCTGGCCATTTCAGGATCAATTTTGGTTCAATATTTTTTGTATGTTTCCTTTCATCAATTAGCCTCCAAGGTCCCTGTGCCCCAAAATGGTTAAAGGTTGCGATTTTCACACATCAAAGAAATTGTTGAAAATTCACTTCAATTATTAACTTTATAAGTCGCACCTCTGATTTACCACCTTCAGATAAAAACGACGTCTGAGACAGGCGGCCAGAGAGTCCGGAACTACTTCTTGGATGAGGTGGCACATGTAAGATATTATGACTCTGAAAAATAGTCCCAACTCCATTGATATAATGCTTCAATAGAGAATGAAATAAAATGGAAAGTTTTAAAACAATTGGTTTAGATCAATACTGAAAACTAAATAGGAACAATGAAATTAAACAATAATTTTGGATGCTGATATAATGTTTATCCCAAGGATATGGTTTCTACTTAGTATAGCATATATGAGGGTTATGTTACGAGAAGTCTTGGATATGGGGGTATATCACTTAGGTGAAACTTAGGCGGAAACTCACTTTTATCAATTAGCGATAAATTTGATTTATCGAATTTCCCTCAGGAAATATTTATATCTCCCCTTGGTCCCTTTGGTCCCTCGGGGAGATATAAATATATCCCTATATCCAAAACCTTCCAGTACATAATCCTTATATATAAGTCCCGCTTCCCCAAGATATCAATTCTATATCCCGCTGTTATGTACATACTAGTAAAACCTCACTTGTCATAGAATAAACCCTTATATCTATAACTAAATTCCAATGTTGACAGAGACAAAACATGTTAGTAAAATGTTAGTTCATGAAATCATGAAGTACATGTACCTTTTTTATCTTGTAATATGAAGTATCACATTCACCTATTTAGGTGTATTTATATTGATCCATTGTGAATTTGTAACAACATTGACCTTTGTAAGATATTTCAGATTAGTGTGTCGAACCATCTTCGTACATTCAGGTCCCGTCGGTCGGTGAATGCAGTGAAGACCGAGTATGTGAAGATGATGTTGAACATGAAGGCCATTTGCCCTGACTTCAGACAACATAGCCAATCTACCAGACAATATTTAGATCTTTTTGAGATCTTAACAATCTCAAATGTAAAAGTTAAAATGTGAAATGAATATTAACAACTTATAGGTAGAAAGTAGATAGTCTAATTAGATATCAGTTAGATCAAAGTATTGTCATATCAAAGAGTGCAGACAGAGTCAATTTCTTGTAAAGGGTTTGTGTCATTTACTGTATAAAGTACATCCAGATTAAGCACTTGTTAACTCCAATCAAATCTATTGATAAAAGATCAGGACCTTATCACTATATCTATTTAAAGCAATACTTAATACAAGTATATATAAATAGTCTAACCAGTCACTTATAGCTAAATATTTACAGAATTACAATATACATGTCTTATTATAATACTGTATAGTGTTAGAACTTTTTCACAATTTTGAACTTCAAAACTCATGAAAACATTACAGCTTGGGAGTATGTTTGTGACACAAATGCTAAAGATTTATAACAAGCGAGAGATGTATTGATATTTTTGGGAATGACTTTATCCTAATAATGTTCATGTCAGAAAACTCAAAGTCATAACATGGTTTTACTGTAATCTTTTGGACTTTAACCCATGAGGTCATTCTATTGGATTCAATAGTATGAATTTAATTCAGCAGTTATTTGATTCAAGCGTGTATATGTTTGGTAAGTTCTGTTTTTAATTCTTCTATTAGGATTCATTTCAAAATTGACTAGAAATGTATTAAATCTGAATTACAGGACATAAATTGTCTGATTTATAAGTATTGCTTTAATGTCTTGTAGTATGTATGGGATTTGTTAATATTCATTGTATTTTTGGAGTTGTAGTTATTAGCTGTAGTTTGCAGTGTCTGAGTGCCTAAATTAATTGATCACTTAACTAAAAGATTTAAAAACCATTCTGTTGAATCACAAGTATATTAATCTATATTACATAAGATCAGTGGTCTTTATTTCCTACATTTCTGGATCAGTAAAAATTAAATGTTACTTATTGCTGATTTAGCTGTTATTTCTTGCAGAAAATGAAGTGTTTAGCAATATATTAGTGGTACTTTAAGAACTTAGTTTGATAATACATAGGGCAATGTATACATAATTAAGTCTTTATATCAACATTCTGAAAATTGGATATACCAGTCATGAAATACTTGTAACCTGAGAATGTATATGATTGTGAATACACATTTCATTTAGTGAAAAAAGATTTAACTTCTAGAATTTCTAAACATTGGTAAATTCAAGGCTAGTGTATAAAAAACAAAACAGGTCTATATGCACCTATAAAAACAAAACAGCTCTTAAGAAAACTAGAGACTGTGAAAACATGAAAACATACATGTAAAAATGTCAAGTTGTCCCTGATAGAAACTGATAAACATATTACTAGAGAGAGGTTAGCAAGGATCCAAATGAGAGAATAGAGGTAAGGAGAATTCTCCATTGAAGGGATAGTGCTAGGAAAACCATGGGGCTCAATGTACATGAAGCTCTCTTTTAAATGGACCTAAAGACATGATATATTGAAAATGGTAGTCTGGACTAGAAGGAGATCATTAACATGATTGGTGACTTTTGCATTTCATTGTGTTTGATGAAAATCATACTGGTAAGTAATACATTGGTCACATTTGCTCCGATTTTCACTACAGGGCCCGGCCGATTGAGTGTTTTGTTCAAAATTGAATACACTATTGAACAAAACACTCAATCAGCCGGGCTCCGACCGATGGATCGGAGCATATGTGACCCAGGCATAACTAAGAGCCTGTGTTTGGCCTCAACTCACTTTATAAGGTTGCCAATGGGTTAAAATGTTATTAACCCTTTCATGATGACAGCTTTCAGTTATTAGGTTCATAACTGTTCAAATGCTGATAAATCACCAGCTTCAATGAATCTAATATTTATTAGACCAGGCGACTGTCAACTGGTTAAGAATGAAATCAACAGCTGTGGAACAACAAACTTTTTAAAATAAATGATGATTTAATTTGCAAAGAAAGTTATTTTTCCTTTATTATATTAAGAAAGGGGAGACCCAACTCATTTTTTCGCAACTGTTTACATTTGGGGACTATCCCTAATATTACTTCATTAGGTCACTGGTCCATGTAATTAGCTTGGCAAGTTATGAGGGAAACCATCGTGAAAATAGATAATTTAATAGCATATACAGTTATGTTTTTGCTTTACCACTAGTATAGTACAAGTGAGTTGACCCTTGGATAATGAAGACCTTAGTCTTGTTTTTTATTAATTCGGGAAAATAAAGTAGATATACAGGGCGTTCAGTAAGTAAAGCTAATTTTGCTCTCAAACTTTTATTTCTTGTCTATCATCGTTCAAATTTTCAGTGGAGAAGCATCAGACACTTTTCTAACTATCCTGAAAAAATGATCAAGATATAATGAATAACAGCAAAATGGTGGTTGTCATAGTAACGCGAATACGGGTTCTGCGGAGCAATTTTATAAGTTCACAGCATAGTAGATTTTGTTAACGTTAGTTTCTGTCCTGTCTATATATCAACCATAGTTCTGTGGCTACTCCACATTTCTACTTTCAAGTTAGCATTCTATTTCATGTTCAAAGTAATTCCCCTTAGCTTTCACACACAGCTGATGTCGTTCTATCCACTTCTGATATATCCTGTGGAAGCCATCTGGAAAGTTCTTTGTCAGCGAATGTTGAACGGCATTCTGAAGCTCGTGAATATTTGCGTGGATCTTACCACGCAGATCATTTTTCAAACATGAAAATACCCCAAAATCGCATGGTGCCTTGTCAGGAGAATACGCTGACTGGCCTTGAACCTCCATCTCCAGCGTTTTTGGATATCCCTAATGGTATCCTGCTTGGATTTCCCTAGCAACACATTGTATCTGATGCTACTTCTCAATTGTAGTTTCATTTCATTGTTCATTTTGCTTCCATTGGCAATCCTGGCAGCCATGATTTTAATGATGTCATGGAGCAGTGTCTGATGGATCATTCTGGATCATTCCATCTGTTGTAGGGTATCATCTGTCTGTGATGTCATATACTACTGTTGCCATGGTATCATATTTGTGTATGTTGTGGTTATATTTGTTGTGACTTTCAGCCATAGCAAACAAAGACATATGCAGCATTAATCTTAATCAATTTCATTGCATTATAACATTTTTATTAAAGAAAGAAATTGCTCCGCAGAACCCGTATTCACGTTACTATGACAACCATTGTTTTGCTATTATTCATCATATCTTATTTAATTTTTCAGGGCAGTTAGAAAAATGTCAAATGCTTCTTCACTGAAAATTTGAAAGATAAATGACAAAAAATAAAAGTTTGAGAGCAAAATTAGCTTTACTTACTGAACGCCCTGTAAAATAGTATTAAAGTGTCAGGAGAGAAAAATGGAGTAGTAGAAGAACATCATGATTTGGAAGAATGAATTAATTAGAGAGATGAAGCTGTATTCATATCAATGATTTAGGTTTAAAGGTTTACACGTTTGATTGTTTTGATTATATTGATGATTATTTTAGTTTCTGAATAGAAAATCCAAATTTTGGATAGAATTATGCAATGACTATTTTCTACTATTATCTGCATTTTGTACAGAAAGCTTGATCATAGTAAGAATCCTCCTGAAGCCCGTAGAGTTATATTTTAAAATAATTGCCATTCTATTAAACTTTCAGAAGGAATCCAGCACACAGCAATGTAGATAAACAATCCTTTCCCTTAATTAACCAAAAACTATGATGTCACTGAAGGGACTCATAATAGTTTTCATGACAATTACCCAGTCATCAGATGGAATTCATAGTGGAAAAGAACCAGGATGTATACCACCAGATGGCTGCCAATTTCAGATGTTAGAGGGTGCACCAACTGTGACGTGTAACAACATTGGACTTGAAACCATCCCAGCATGCCTACCAGGAAATTATCCCCCGAGACATTTGTTAATCAACGAAAATAATATCACCCAAATCACATCAATAATTTATGACACTTTGGAGGAATTATACCTGGAAAGCAACAATGCAATAGTTGTTGTAAGCGAGGCGTTCAGACACCTTTCAAAACTTAAATTGCTGAGCTTGAAATACAACCTGATAAGAGATATCCAACGTCACACTTTTATCGGACTGACCAGCTTAGAGAAACTTTACCTAACAGGTAATTCTATGAGAATTCTACCTGAACAAGCATTCTACTATGGTTATCTGCCATTATTAAACATTCTTGATTTGTCAAACAATTCAATTTCTGATATCGGGGATACCTCATTCCAATATCTGCGAAACCTCTCCAAGCTAAACCTACGCAATAATAATTTAGCCTCAGTGCCTTTATTTGAAAATGCGGCTTTAGACTTGGATGATCTGAACCTAGGTGACAACAAGATAGAGCAAGTTCCACACGATGGATTTAAAACACTAACCTACTTAAAGATACTTTCCTTGGATGGTAATATGCTTACTGACTTGCCACATTCTGCATTTTGGTCATTGAAACATTTAAATGTCATACACTTAGAGAACAATCAATTGCGTCTTCTATGGTATAATTTATTCCATGTTCCCTGGGAAACACTACAAGAGGTATATCTTCATAGCAACAACATTGATGTGATACACCCCCATCTGTTACCATGGAGACAGCTGAAAGTGATAACTTTGGAAAGGAATCCTTGGGAGTGCACGTGCCATGCTACATGGATGTGGTCTATTGAAGCTGTGATTAATAACAGCACCTCAATCATGTGAGTACTGTACATAAGAATTTTTTCTTTCAAATTCAAGGACCTTGCCCAGATTTCTATATTATCAGAATATAACACAATCCTCATAAGAGCTTTGAAAATAAGAATACAAATCCTAGAAGTGTAGATGCAACACAATATTTTAAGTAAATACATGTACAGCGATAAACCAGTTGTGAATGCGAAACAGCAAGATGTACTTTAAGAAGTTAAACTTGCTAGCAAAGCAAAAACTTCACAGTATATATTTACAGGATTTACGAACATATATGACTGAATGAAGCCTTATTATTAAACGACTGCTGTATTTTTGGAGAAAGTAATTTTGTCTTTAATAACAGATGTTTCAAATTATTTCATTTTCAGATGTAAAACTCCTACAGATGTCCACGGTCAGAACTTCAAGTATCTAAATGAAGAGACCCTTCACTGCCCCCATAGTGCAGTTTCTATCATAGGCATTGTACTGGGAGTGCTGCTAGCGATAGGTCTTCTAATAATTCTGGGATATATCCTGTTCCGCTGCATCAGGAGGAAACAACCGGCTCATTCAATAATGCCAAAGACAACCACGTCTATATATCGACGTATGGGTGGAAAACGTGGTAACCATCGCAATTCCCAACAACTTCCTGTCAGTAATCAGACAATACAAGATGCCAGCGATGATGAATTGTAATATGATGTAAATGAACAATTCGATTAAATTGTGAAAGCTTATAATGTGAAGCTGGTGCATGATTTAATTCATCAAAAGCAAATGAGTTGAATTTGCTACATATTAGTAATAGTGATCAATGAATTTTAATGTGATGTCAGAAATCAATTTGATTAAATCAAGAACTTTTCAACAGATAACAATAAAGTGTCATATGATATCAACAGGATTTGGGCTGATATTTCAAAATACTCCAGAGTTGGTAAGTTAATATAACTTTGGATGATCTTTCCAATGGTATATCATTCAAGGTACCATCTATCAACGTTTTACCTGTATGAGGGGGACGGGACTTTTTTGACACCCTGTACAACTGGACCATTTCAATATAACATACATGTATAAATAGAAAATACTAGTTCCCTTGTTATACATGTGGTTAAGCAAATTAGCACTACATGTATATCTGAGGATATCATAGTAATTCAGCATATATCATCTTTTTATTCTCCATGTGATACCAATTAAGATCTATTTAGGTTTTTAATTTTTTTCATCTAGGATTTTATATATTTGTATAAATTATAAGAAATTTTATAAATCTGATAAAAGAAACAAGAAAATCAGATCCTTTTGTAAATGCTTATTTGATGAAGCAAAAATAAATAAAACTAAAATAATATTTTAGCTAAAACTATGTGTTATCAGTGTGGTTATAGTGTACATGTACTTCAATTAGGTTAGAAGAAACACCCAAACCTAGTTTTGCTTTAAGCTCTTGTTAACCCCCCATCTACCTACTTTAGGTGGGGTATGCATGTTTGGAAGGTCTCAAGGACTAATGAGGCAATACTACTCAAACCATGCATTTTGTAGAGGCTTATTTCTTTATTGAAAAGTATAAAAGGTACAGTTGTTACTTGACCTTATAATTGGTATATTGAGGTCTTTTTAGATACATAATAGGTGACATAATAAAAATCATAATTTCCCTTTTTGAAATATAATATATAAAATAAGAATGAATATCTTAAGCTTTACAATACCCAAGCATGCATTCTTTGAGAACCATTTCTTCAGTTTGACTATTCAAATTGTAAATTCTAAGTTTTAAGAAATGGTCATTGGAACAGGGCAAATTACAATAAAAATTTGACAACATTATGCAACATAAAATACAACATTCACAGTACAACATTTACATTAGTTTTGTTTCAAATCCCATCATTCCTATGACAGTGAGGACAGAGACTTGATGCAAGTCTAAGAAACTATATACAAGGAGCAATCAAAAAGTTAATTCCATACTTAAAGCATTGAGATAAGCTGAGCAGATTTTGTCCTTATCACAAAATATATGATAATATAATGACAAATGGGATTATAAATCCATATTTCTCCCCCTGGTCAAGTTTCCACAAACTATACACTATATCCTTAGTTTTTGATCATCCCTTGTATATTCAAACATTTTCTTATCTTAAGACTAAAGGTATAAATATAGGCTTACCACTGATTCATTCCCATTGTCACTGTGGTATGAGAACATAGAAGTCGGAGAACTGGTAGTTATGCCACTGTCGCTGCCATCTATTTAACATAAACAGAGTTATAAGCACATAGTGCACAACATTTACAGGAAATATAATAGGAGTTAAACTTACTCAAGTCTAGCAAATTCTTGGCTAGAGGTAATTTCATATGGAATACTGTGAACTCCATTTGAAAAAAGCTGGCCGGAGTGTCATAAATTTATTGAATATTTTAAAAATCGCCAGATAAATAAATCATTAATTAAAATGGGACCGGCTCGGCTCCTTGATGAGATATTGCATGATTTCGTCAGGATTTCGTCTAAAATTAAAACAAATGGCTCCAAGAAAAATGGCGATATTCGAAAACTGGACGAAATGTCGTTAATGTCTGACATTAGTAACTGGCTGTAAATTCTAAGTTAGCGATCCAGAAGATGTGAACTAATTCATAATACATTTTTTTTAATTTTCCAATTGACTCCAATGTAACACGTAAAAAACAGTCACTAATCAGAAGAATTTAGTCAGATCTCTGTGGTATTTATATTATACAGATTTAACTTTATTTAACAGATGGAATAGTAAGGGTTGTGTCCAAATGTCAAAAGAAAGACCAAGTACATGTACATTTCATTATGATCTTACCCAAACCTCCATAAAAAGAAATGCTGATTAGCTTTTCTCTTCGTTTTTAAAAAATCAGCATTTTTCAAAAATGAGATCAAGATCTAACCCAACATAACGCAATTGCAAAATTAAGTATGTTTTTCCACATCTGTTGACATTGGGCCACATCCCTTACAAACATTTTTTAGTATGTACCTTCATCAATTTGTAAACAACACATGTTTATTTATTTACATATTTGTTAATCTATTAAATGTACCCAATGTTGTTTGCTAAGATGTTTCTTTAATTTCTACTGAATATCTAAATCACTCTGATGTTTTGCATATTGACTAAATTCTCATTATGGTATTTTATCCCAATGATCTTCAGACACGTACAGAGGGGCTGCCTAAAGTTTTCCTCACCTTTATCTTTTCTGAAATAATTTCTTTTTTCCAAAGGATAAAGGGCACAAAATAAAATTTATCGTCCCTCTATTTTCCTCTAATTTGCAATGGTTACCCCACCATATTATATATATATATTATATTTACTTACCATGGATACTCCTGGCCTGCACTGGAGAAAACACAGTAGTTGGACTGGTCACAAATGGAGAGTTCACACTGGTCTGAAATAGATGTAATCCAAAGACTAATTAGTTCAACACCTGGTTTATATTCTAATGGATACCTCTCTAATTCTCGAAAGATATTTTGACAGTTTTATATATAATGCATTAATCATTCCAAGCTACTTTATTCCTTGCTAATCCCTGTTCTTCTTATTTAGCATTTCAAATTTAACATTCATGAAAAAAGGAAGAGGTGCGTTTAGTGGCAAATACCCCTATGGTCAAAATGAATAATTCTTAGGTGTAACATGAAGAATAGAATGTCATATAACTCTTTGGGAAATATTAAGTGCTCGGGCACACATAGGCTGAGATAGGGGCCATTTGATTCAGTAAGGTTAATTGACTTACATGGGGCTGTGCATCATTGACTTAACATGAGGATATCAGCAGATCGAAAATAGAGGCCATTGGTTTCCATTGATTATCACAAAAATACCAAAAATACACTCTGACCTGAATCACTTGCAAACTTAATAATTTCACAATATGACACAAATGCTTTATCTCATCAAATGTGCAAATATGAAGGTTGCAATCGATTCAGTTCATACTTTAAATTAAAAGATTGTACATTTTTTCACCATTTTTTCCCTAAAAATGGCTCTAGAAAAATGCTCCAAAAACAACTTTTATACTCATCAAATATCATACACATTTGTAAAACCAAAGATTATACTATTTCATTATTTAGTAACATATTTGGATAAGATGTAGGGATGCCTGGAATGCAAATGGATTTTGATAAGCATAAAAATACTTCCTGGTTTGGAATCTATGCCTCTACACTTCATGATTGAATAATAAGTGGCCTATACACCAATACAGTGCTGAATATAGGTCAACAAGATACTAGTGTGCATATATATGTAATAATAAAGACAGTATACTCATTTTGAAAAATCAGATGAATTAATTTTTTTTCATGGGGAGATCATAATGGAGAGCGCACTACTTCCTTTGGCACATGGGAGTTGCAAAATACAATGTTATTAATCCATAATGATAACTAGAAAAACAGCAACTCTGGAGTAGCAAATCCATCCAAACACATTTGAACAAATCACTCCTCATATTTAACATAGGCAGTAATATTGGCTATGAGGAATCAACCCATAAAATCAGATAACTGGTAACTGAGGTTTAAAAAATGATTGTGATATTTTTCAAGAAACTGATTTCACACGGAAATGCGTAGCTTAACTTGTTTTTGATATTAGACACTGATAAATAGGAGATCACTAAGAATGATGTGATATTATGATATTATGTACAGTGTATGATTATAAATGATATAACATTGTGATGTATTAACATTTATATACAATCTGCACCAATCACTGTTATACATGCGACAGGTGTGAAATGTTGGGATTATTAGTAGAGGACAACATCCTGGACTTCACTCTTATACAGTAAAACCTGTTTAATCTGAACACCTCTATGGCCACCAAAAAGTGTTTGATGTTCACATTTTAAAACAGGACTCTCTTGTGATTTTTCTCACGGACAATCAGTGATATTCCATTCCAACAGCCTATATACTTTCTTACATATCGTATTAATATATTTAGACCACCTTTTGAGCATGGTACTCCCAATATACTGAGAAAATCAATAGAACAACCAACAGAACAACCAACTGTCAGATGAAACACAATTAGCCTAAAGCAATATATAATCGTTTTATCTATTTTTAAAACTTTTAAAAGGTAATAAATATTAAACTTACATAACTAGAAACATTTAACTGTTGTTGTTAAAAAAAAGAAATAAAAAATAGGTACAGACGGGATTTGAACCCACGAACCAGAAAACCAGAAAACTTAGATAGGAAAAATTGATATTGTAACGAATTAGTCGAGTCCTCAAGTAGATAGACAAACTTGCTGTACATCTTTTAGCGTCAAAATCTTAAGGGGGGGGGTACTTAAATTGTGCCTTTATTCGACAGTCCCGCTTTATGGTTTATTAATATGTGAGTTATTGGGAGTTTTTGGACCAAGAAAAAGTGTTCACATTGAGAGGTGTCTGGACAAAAGAGGTGTTCCGATGTAAAGGTTTTACTGTACATGTAGTTAGCTAATATAAAATATTTGTGACAAGAGTTTTGAATTGCAGTACATGTATAAGAATACAATTTAGAATAAGCAATCAATTTTTCACTACCTGGAGTAAATTTCATGAGGATTATCTTTTTTTACTTCAAGATCTGCATTTTTAACCCATTACAATTGTACCTTAGATGTTCCAACATTTTGTTACCGAAATGAACTGCTTCATGGAATATTATACAAATATTTAATTCTATATCAGTGGCGTAGCGTGGGTATTTTGTGAGTGTACGCCGCCAGAACACACATTTTAATGAAACCATATCAGCTATGTTTTGTTCATGATGAAGCATAAGCACATTACTTGATTGAAATTTGTGTTAATGCTTTTTGGACTTTTCCATTTTCCTCGTGTTTACTTCCGGGGCAGCTTTGCCTCTATCACGAAATACTGTATTGACCTTGAACTTTAATTTTGTGACATATCATCCAACCATGTCTGATGTAAAAATAATTAAAATATCTTAAAATAATGTTTTGTGGTCTCTTCTGCAGACGAGTTTAGGACAGGGCAAAGGAGGATGGCCTGTTCAAAGATAGAAAAAGTGCATGATCTACAGTTGAACTATTGGTCTGAATGAAATGCTACGCGGAAAGTATGAATGGGTCGTCAGCTGTATTAGTCTATTAATATTCTAAGACCTGTTTGTGATGCTTTATAATTTAGACCAAAGTGTAGACAAATACATGCACGTGTAAATTATAAAATCAACGAATAAAGATTCAATTTTCACAAATGTTCGGTAATTTATCGTATTGAAACTTCCGGAACTTACTAGGAAATCATTCATTTTCACGATCCATAATTTACCTCTTGGATATTGTGCTAAATGCTCTATAGTTGACGCAACAAAGGTGATAGAGTTTCATTAAAATGTGTGTTTTAACCTCTAGAGGGTAAGTAAGACTCCTAATCTTCAGGTAAATCTTATTTTTCAAGTTCTACCGACGAAGTCAGGCCATGAAATCTACTCTACATGATCTGAATGGATGCAAGGATTCGATGGGCTGGGATTTGAGAAATTATCATTTTAACTTTGTAAATTTCACATGTATTTGTATTTCAATGGCTGTAAAAGTAGGTTGCTTTCTTCCCTTACCCATGGACTTTCTCAACCAAACAGTTGCTGTTCTAGGAAAATGATGATGTCATGGGTATTTATGAGACTGGGCCAACAAGGTCAACGGTTTAAGGCATTTCTCAGACCATTTATGAACAAAATTAATATGGGATACAAAAGAATGTTACATAACTAATGATGAAATAAATGATCTCCTGAAAATGATATAATGTATAATGAGAAACCCTATAAAATAAGCAAATGTTTATACCCAACACAAACCGGAAGTAATAATTTTTGGTGAAAGTTTTCGAAATAGTGAATCTATTTAAAATTTCGTCTAACTTACCATATCAGGCAAAGGTTCACTAAAATAATCAGACAGTCGCGGATCATCTGATCCAGTATGGCTCAATGATTTAGCCATAGTCGTTCACATTATGACATTATTTAGAACTTTAATGCACTTGTTGACTTTTCGCCCTGTAAATTGAATGCACTATATTTACGAACGTATGATTTATGGAGCTTTTGTTCGCACTGTTCTGTTGAATGATAAAAATGACTGCCATCTTTTAATATAAATATGTAAAATTATACTCCCTTTGTATAAAAGCCTCGTACCTCGTACCTCGTACCTACTACCTATGTACCCGGGCACTGGCGGATAAGGGGGGGGGGGGCCTGGAGGCCCGGGCCCCCTCCCCTTGGGTGGGCCTAGAAAAAAAAATTGGGCCCAAAAAAAGGCCTTAAGGCCCCAAAAAGTCGGCCTTTTTGGTCATTACTGGGCCTTTTAAGGCCTTATTTTTTAAATTCAGGCCAAAATTTGAAGAAAATGGGCCTCAAAATTTCAAAATTTGGGCCCACTTTTGTCTTTTAGGGGCCCAAAAGGGACGTTTTTTTCTCTGACCTAAGATTTGCCCCCCCCCCTTGTTGGTTCCCAGATCCGCCCCTGCCGGGCTACGTACCCACGATACAGTCTTTGGATGGGTTAAAGTTCTTAAAACAGTGGCGTAGCGTGCGTATTTTTTGAGTGTACACCACTAGTGAGCAAAGCAAGTGAAGTTTGAGGGGGGTGGGGGGAGAACCCCCCAAGATTGCATTGTGAAGCGTTCTTAGGCGTTTTAAAATACGAAATTAAGTCCCCAGAAAAGACCAGTGGAAACCCGGAAGAATGTTGAGGGTAATTAGTATTTCTTATCGACCATTTCTTATACTATTGTAAACATGCAAATTAAATACTTTCTTGCTCGAAATATAAAACACATCAGTGTGTCATTGGGGCCCGGCATTGGGGATATGACATTTTTGTGTTCTGTTTAAACCAGTATTCAGTATTCTGAAAATTGCAGCCCTTATGACCAGGGTTTTTCAATCATGTGATTCATGTCCTTGAAATGGTTACACATGTAACAGTTCTACAACAAGTTAAAACTCTAGGGTCTGATTTGTAATCTGCCACCATAAAATAGGTTTAAAAACAAGTGTTACAGTCCTAAACATGTAACATTTTTTGACAATATTCATTCTATTTGCTTTACGTGTTCATCTTAATTTAGATATTTCTGATTTCACATTTAATATGCCACCATTGTATAATATGTGCAAAAACAGATGATACAATCCTAAACATTTTTTATAATATGCATTCAATTTTTCATTTCGTAGTTAATAAATGATTCATAATGACATAAATTAAATTACAAATTATTTGAAAAAGATCCAATCATGAGATATTGTTTTTCCATAAATCTATTTCAAGCTCTATGGCCGCGTTTCTAAATTGATTTGCGATCTCCTTTTAAGTTCGATTAGCACACGTTTGCGTCCACGTTGCGTCTGAGTTTGCGTGAAGCGCGTGATACCACGCAAAAAACGATTTGCGCTTGCGAATATTATTAATATTCGCAAGCGCATCCCAAATCGCAACGTTGATTTATTTATTTTTATTTATTAATTTATTTAGAGACTTTAACAGTGGCACTCTTACATTAAGGTGCATCTAATCGGAAATATCCACAATGCCATGTTGGTTAAATGTTGATTTACATGTAATTAGCGCTGATCGGATAATGAGGCCTCAGAACTTTAACTCTATCTTCAAGTACTAATGAACAGTTCGTAACGGAAAACTCTGGATTTTTAAACCCGATTCACCAAATTTCAACATCGATTTTTGCATGTCTTAGGGTACCCTTCTTAAATGCGAAGTTTATTTGAATCTTGGTGATGTGGTCAAATATATCACTTCTTAGATTACATCAATGTTACCCCCTCAATGCTAGGACGAGCATCAGTGTGATTTACAATTTAATTATTATGTCCAAACTTCAAATATCTTTCTTATTATATTTCATGGGTATTAGTCTTTTTACAGTAAGACAATATAAGGGAATCAAGAAATATCGATAGACAAATTTACGGCCAAGAATCAAAATGTATAAAATGACATAATTTTCCAAGGCTTGCACATCTTCCTACAGGCATATTATTTAGGCTCGATAAGTGAGACGTGCAAATGAAGTTCAGTCTAGTTGCTTGCCTTACGGGAGTTAAGTATAGACTTTGCAAATGCGCTTGTGATAATAAAATGAGTTTAAACATTTCAGTTGATATCTTATCTCATTGCAGAAGTTGTTCCTTTATATCTTTTGAAAACAAATACTATCTAATGTAAATCCAACTGAAGTGGCCCTATTGTGCTAAAATGGTTGATAACGACAAATATGTTATGGAGACAATCTGACTTCATGCCATGTCTATTTTCTACATATAATACTCCAACAGACTTTCATGATGATAATGCTTTGATTTTCAAAGGTACATGACAATAAGAATAATATTTACTTTTTTTGTAATTCATTTTGAAGTGTTCATTACTTGTCTATTCATTTTTATTCCTTGCTCATTCCACTCTAAAGTGATCATAGAAGATGATTAACATGTTACATGGCACTAAATATGAATATGTAATACCCTCATACTTCATCTTTCAATGTAATAAAAATGTATAATTTTTCATCTCAAGGGCCATTTTCTTCTCAAGGGCTTTTAGTTCCTATGGTAACCCATCAATAGGTTATTTCATCTATCAGCACATCATTTATAAACAAGAGAAAAAATTCAGTTGATTCAGTTTTCTTCACTTTATTCACATCTTAATAAAAAACAGTACATGTACATATATAATGCTTAGTGTTGTTATTAAAAAATAAATATTTCTTTTCATTTACATTATAGAATACATTCATTCTGTTCTTCCAAAATTCATACATTGTTTGTACCAAATAATACTTTTCTAATTTTCCAAATTTCTTATCTGAAGACACACATTAAAGCTACTGCATTGAAACAATCATTTATCTCAACAGAACTAGTTACCTTTTGTCTTAAATTCAATATTCAAAGTAAAAATCCATTTAAAAGAGTATTATAAGTATTATATAAATGTAAAATATACAACATGTAATAAGCAGTTCGATTAGTGCTCATGTTTTAAGTAGGTTTTTAAGTAGGAATGCTTAAGTTATTATGAGCTCAATAATATATCATTCAGAAACATGCATACCCTATTCTTATGGGAATATCATAATTCAATATACACAATGTCTTCTTAATTATTAATAAATATAGAAGCTTGGCACACAATACAATGAATAAATCAAATTGAAATCAATATTAACATTGCATCAAATTAATATTTATGAGAATTACAAATGGAAATCAAAATGTCATGGATTTTGTGAAACAAAGAAACTCAAACATTCTTTTATACCTCGCATGAGCTTTTGTGTCATAAAAAGTGCATAGGTCTAATGATAAAATGATAAATGAATTGTTGACCACATTATATACTGATTTGGTGCAGATCTTCATTCTTTATATCACATCTTAAAACTATCACATCTTACTAAATATCACAGTGAAAGCAGAATTTCTTCACCACTTCGTACCAACCTATAAGGCATCAATGAGTATTAAAAAAATATCTTATCTTCTTTTGTTCTTATTTAACATCTTTCTATAATCAGAAAAGTGAGTAATTTTGACAAAGTCCCAAACTAACTGATGGTACAGGGACTTGATGTGATGTATGACTACAAAATGTACGACTACATAGACTGCAATTGGTTACAATATGTTATTTTCAAGAAGACAAAATAACATCAGGTAAAGTTCAGATATACAATGAACTTTGAATACTATTTGGGATACTTAAACTGCATCATTCATTATGCAGTTTCAGTCTCCTTTTGTTCAATTTCCTCATCTTTGTCATCGTCAACCTTTTGTTCTTCATTGTCTTTTTGCTCATCACTGTCTGTCTTATCTTCCTGTTTCTCATTGTCTTTATTATTTTCATCAGAGTCTCTTGTCTCATCATTTTCTTGCTGTTCATTTTCTTCAGCAGCCTCATTTTCACTCTTGGTGCGGGAATGTGCTGATCGACTTGTTTCCTTGTCATCTTTGTCCTGAAACAAAAATTATATTAATTAAGCTAAATCGTGGATTTTATTTGCTTTACAAAGCATTACCTTGAAAAGTTCATAAAAATTGCTTTTACAATTCATTTGGTCAAATTCAGGAAATAATTAATTTGGGGAAATGACTTAGTGCTCAAAATGGGATGCTTTATCAGCCATCTGATTTCATATTCTAACCAACTAAATGACTTAATTCATCCTGTGTCAATATTTATATTTCATATCTAGATTATGTTGAGTCTTATGTTAATCTTGAGAGATTTAAAGCCTAGACATCAATTTCATTATATAAGGCAACCCTGCCCTTGAACAAACTAGGTACTCATGAACAGATAACATGTGATTCCCACGATGTTACCAAAAGTTGATAAAATATCAATACAAGAATTCTTACAAGAACTCTCAAGTGGATGAAAAATTCTTATTGCCATGAATCTCACTAAAATCCGTCAATTTTTCATGAGTTTTTCATTTCTAAGTGTGTGGAAATCACAGTTGCTGTTAGCCTTTCTTCAAAATACCAAGCTAGTTTATGTTTGGTCAATCTATTGATATAATGAGAAAATATCAACTTACATTTTTCCACCAATTTTTAGGGTACTGTGAAATATTGTCCATAAATTGTAGATTTTGGAGCCAGTTTTTATGGTCTTCTTCTGCGCTAAGTTCAGGTTTCCTCATGGTTATTCTTTGTAGGATGGCTTGGTTCTCTCGAGTTACACGAAGAAGTTCTCGTTGTCTCTTTTCACGATTTAAACTGGAATCAAGTATGTTATGCAAAATCAGTCATTGGTAAAATCCAATAGCAATAGATATGTCTAGCTTTGTCACTTAAATCAAATTACAAAACCCAGGGGAATACAAGTATTTATGTGTAAACTTCTTTAGTGTATAATTATACATTAAATTATTAAATTGTTCATGGTGAATTGTTTGCCATAAATATGAAATATAAATATTGACACACACACACCTGTGCATTTGGAAATTACAATTTTTTATTCTACATGATATAAAAGTTAATCTATAAAATATAGTCCAAATGAAGATCAACATCAAGATCAATATTAAATGTACATGTTAAGAATAGTATTAAATTGAACTTTTCCATTTCCAACTTCATTATCAATATAATGATGAATATAATATACAGAAAAATACACACCTTTTGTATTCATAATTGTTCCAGTTGTCGACCCGTCCTCTTGTTCTCATAATGTATGCCATTTTTTCTAGGAGAATTCTGTTATCACGTTCAATTGTTGCTAAGCGTTCTTCTTCAAGCTGCAGCTTCTTTGGCTTTAGATGAAGATGGAGATAGGTCCTTGGGGCTTTTGTATCGACCATTGACCGAGCCTCCTTAACCTTGAAACAAAAACATAGATGTCTCAAATCTAATGATATTGAAAAAATCAGAGTTCTTTTTAGACCTAATTTATAGAGCTTGACATGATATATTTATCGATACTAAGTGCACACAATTATCAGATGAAAACTGCCAGAAATGACAGAAATACAATGGTACATGTAACAACTGATTCATTTGGAATAAAATATTTTTAGAAACAACCATAGGCCAAGGGAAGAGTATTAGTAAGGTGAATATAAAAGATCTTCTCCACTCAGGCTCATCTTATACTTTTCCCTTGGCCTAACAGATTCATGAAACATGTTAATCACTTTTTAATTTCCAATAGCTTATTGTAAAATATTTACCTTTTTCTTGTGTTCATTGTAGTAAGTATCATCCCACTTCTGTTGTAGAAGTTTGTTATGAGTTGGAAGAATTGACTGGTAAGATCTATGCATCTTGATTTTTGATTGCTTCTTATCACGTAGCTGTACTGTAAATGAACTGATGTGAAGTATTGACCTTGTTTTGTTATCATGTCCCTATGGTGATATATGGCTTGGACACCCCAAATAGTTTATGAGGTCTAATATTGATTTTACTTTATTACTTTCAATTCAATGCTATTTCAAAACGTTTCTGTTATTGATAGAATTCTTTGTCATAAATTTAATTTAATTGTTGTGGTTAAACTGTCAATTAAATGCAATTTAAATAAATACCAATTGGAATTATAAACTACATTAGGCGGTTCAATCAATTAAAGTAAAAGAGTGCTGCCATCTTTCAATAGATCAAGTTTTAAGAGCACTCTAATTTGCTTTATCCAAATGTCATTTCATGGCTTAGGGTTTGAATGATGTATCATTGGTATATTATGCTGTCCTGCCCTTAGAGACGTTGACTATCAGAAGGCGGATAGTAAATAAATATTAATAAATAATAAATATTGAAATACTAATTAGAATCTAAAGAACCAGTTTTAACTATTTAATTAAAATACATGTACAATGAACTTAGTTCATTGACTGGTAAGTGGCGGATGCTGTTACAGGGTGGGTCGCTGACTCGCTGGGTACATGCACCCCTAAACCAACGTCTTCAAAAACTTTCAAGTTTTGAATTCCAATTTATTCTGTGAAATAAGATATTTCAGTGCTTTGAAACATGAAATATGCTTGTATTTGCTCGTAAATTGCTCAGAATCCACTTTTAATCTAGCATTTTTTTTTAGTAAATAGAAGTATTAAGTTAGAAATAGTTGCCATAGTAACAGAAAACAAGGGAAAAATAGAGAGAATGATCCAAATTAACCATGTTTATATACATAACCTTTATTAGTTACCAAACACATTATAATGTTAACTTCTAGTCCATTAAAAAAACTATGTGAATCATTTGATGTCATAGGGATTAGATGTGATAACTTTGACAATCACAGCTAATTATCCGAAATGACTGATATGAGTAAGATAATGTAATAGATGCAGAGATCTTCAGATATATAAAATTATACCGATAAAAAGTTCTGTTAAATTTGTAAAATCCTTTGCTCAGTTTAAGATGATTTAAAACAACTTTATTGCAAATATATCAACAAAATTATGGGACTGTGGTTTGAACATAATTAAAATGAACTAAAGTGGCAAAATCAACTTAATTAATTTCCTCAGAATATTTGACAAAATAATCATAGGGTCTAACATCCTTTCTAATGGAGCATGTCAATCATCCATTTGAGAACACACTACTCACACTATTATAATAGTTCATAATAGTTTTATAAACATGGTAAATGGGGTTATTCTGGCAATTTTTTTTATTTGGCATGGGTCCCTTTATTTTTGGTTACTATGGGAACCATTTCCTAACTAATATTTCTGTTATACTTAGTATTTTTGTTGTATTAATGAGCACTTTATTGTCCCTTGCATGTACACTATTCCCCCTATGTATCTGATTCTATCTTTAAATCATAGCAATTTATGGTCCACCCATATAGCTCAGCTGTAGCGCATGTACGTCTTACACAATAGCATGAATAGGTCCCGATTTGATCCCCAGTTCAGGCAATACCTAATTTGCTTGTTTGCAGAAAGTACTTCAAGGTGTTTGACTGAGTGGTCCACAACTCGTAAAAAGATGTGTACCTGTATGATAATTATGTATGAGTATATAAAAAAGATCACGGCCTCCTCCTGGGGTTCCTAGGTTTGCCTTTCATGGTTACATGTGTTAATTACGATCAGACATATCCGGGATGTACCTAAGAGATATTGCTCACCTTCATTGGTGGTAAACAAGATACAATACAAATCAGGTTCTTCAAACATTATATATGGGCTTCTAAATACAAAGAGAGAACCAGTGGTAGCTACAAGTAGTGTCAATGAATATCACGCAGTAGTATTTTCCTTAATTGTGAAACTTTAACTCCTTGCTTTTCTTTAGATTTTGAATCTTGTCACATCATTGATTTAAAAACTGCCCAACAACAATTCTCAGATTAACGTGAAATTCGATGGATAAATTAGCATTTTAAGGTATATATAATTTATTCATTATGTACATTTTATTTACAATAACTTTTGCCAATTTTTTCGGATGCACAACATATCTTTTAAATACCATCTAGTAAATAAAACATGCGATAACAGGTAAAAATAAAGAAACAACACTGATTCTTTTGAAATCTTTTGAAAATTAAATGTTCAATTTTACACCATACTCTGATATTTTGTATATGCACAGTAAAACATGTATGGAAAGTCTTCTGTATTTGTACTTTTTTCAAATCCTAAAGTCATATCAAAGAAACACTCCTTGAGTTTCAATATATGTTTATATTATACTGCTGTGTCCCATCTTTCAAGCTCATTCAGTATTTTTTGGCCTTCCCATAATACAACACTAAACAGATCTAGCAGACGGAGTTTATTCCAAAACTTGTTTGTTTACTTCCTGCGGCCACCACCTCCAGCCATTATCATTGCAAGTCTGATGAAAATATTCAATGTGTCCAGATATATACTGATTGATCTGAAAAAGAGAAACAAGTAATTGAATAATCAATAACAAATTGGGCTATTTCAATCATTTTTTACATGAGTTATTTTAGAATTATTTTGAGTGTTTTTAAGATTTAGTTAAATGAATCAAAATGCTTCTCTAAAAAACAAAGTGCAATAAAATTAAAAGAACAACTTGGTATTTTTAAAACTTACGAATTAATGGGATCAAATGGAACTGTAGAATAGACTGGATGAGTTTCTGCTCTTTTTATAATCTTCTGTGTATCGTAAAGAAGGAATAAACTGAACAGGACAAGGCCCCCATACATCGCCACAGAATATAAGCCTGCCCCAAGGGCACTTGTGGGTGGTAGGAACATGGACCCTGAAACATGAGCAAATAATATATCATTCAAACTCCATTAATATCAAGATCAATTTATTTTAAATTTTACATGGCATTTTTTAAAATCAGAATAAAAAGTATGTGGGTACGATGCATGTGAGCTTTAGAAGTCACATTTTGAAACATGACTGCAGTTATGTTTCATAACATTTCACCCATTGATGACATCATCAAATCAGTAACTCGTTGCTGAACCACATCCCTCAATCTTATCACCAAATCTAAACCAATACAAATAATTACATTTTCACATTACCTAAAAGTAAAATATTGAAAAAGAATGGGTGTTGTATAGAAATAAATTGAACAGGGATTAACTGTAGCAACCTAAATTTTATAAAGATATAATGAATGACATGGCATATATTAGTATCAAAGAGGTTGTGTTAAATAAGAAAACTTTGAGATGGTTTTGACCTTATCATATCTCCCTATCAGTTGCTAACTTATCATTCTGAACCAACAATTATATTACATAAACCATCCCTATATAAACCTTAATATTCCAATCAGAATTCACAAACCACTTGCACCAACTAGACACAAAAGGACTAGAAGAATTCAGAATCTGAAGATGTACTGTATTTTAGCTGTAGCACTGATTGGGTTGGCTCAAGGCTTTATCCTACCTAAGCCAGAGTTCAATGAAAGACAAATCCCTACTGTTGATAGAGTTGATGCTGACAAATATGTTGGACGCTGGTACCAGGTATGGTTAATATTTCTGCTATAATAATCAACAATTTTTTTTATTATAAAGCAAGATTAATAGATCTTCAACAAAAGATTTGATTATTACTATCAAAGGTGTTAACCTCTTGACTACCTGGAGTGACGAGATTTCTCGTCATCTCAGAAATGACCTTGAAACCCAAAGTGACGAGAAAATCTGTCACAAAATTGTTCACTAAAATTGCTCTTATTTGAACAATTTTAATCCAATTAACACAAAAATTGTTTTAAAATGTGTAGAAATTATATCTGTCATCTAATTTTACTAAGTTCTGCATCAAAAGTTGTATCCATATGTAGTAAAATGTCAAAAGGTAGCAAAAATGAAAAACCGATTTTAGAGCCTGGGATTCAAAAGGTTAATCAAGGTCACAGAATGTCTCAAGGATCAAGATTTATATAATGAGGAATATTTCAAGCCTACTCAACATCTATTAATTCATTCCCCCTTTGCTATTAAAATACAATTTGCATGATGTAATATTCAGGGCCATGTAAATCATTTATTATCAAGCTGAAACTAACTCTATTCAGGGCTATGTAAACCTTTTATTGTAGATGTACACCAACAAGTTTGGAGAGGACACTAATGGAGCGAACCAGCACTGTGTAATGGCAGACTGTAAGTAAATACTAAGAGTACATGTTTGAAAAATATTTGGAAAGGATAGAATAAGAGACTTTAAAATGTCAAGATTTTTGTCATATGGTGAGAACATATTCTTCAAGATATATCTGTGCATACTATCCAGGAGTATGAAACCTTATAATTACTGTAGATTGGGTTAATTTGGCGCTACTTAATTTGGCGATTTTGCCATTTTTGGCATATTGGCGGCTATTTAATTTGGCGGATATGCAAAAAATTGGGCATGTTTGGCTATGTTCATTTTTTTCTTTTGAGGACCACTGGCGATATTCACCATGTTTGTACATTTTTGTGAGATCATCCTTTACATTTTGCATCTCGATCGATGCTGCTTCTATACCACGCTTTTCCTTTCTAGTTTTTCCTGAGTATTAATGAGTGACTGACCAGTTCTGAGCCAATTTATGAGACGTTTTTTCATATTTTTGGAAAAAACTAAACCGGAAGTGACCTAAATACACTGGACGAAATACCCTAGATAATTCCCGGGGATTCATTCTAAATTTTGGCGAAGATTTATATTGGCGAATTTTTCAATTTCGCCAAATTCGCCAAATTAAAGCGGGCGCCAAATTAACCCAATCTACAGTACTCCTAAGGTTGTTTTGATCTACAGTATGTTTACTAAGATCATCTTTCTCTATGATACAGACAAGCTCTTCAACGCAACAACAATCACAGTATTCAACTCTGGTAAACTGGGCTCCCCAACTGGTGAATGGGCACAGATAGAGGGATCTGCAACACAGGTTGACCCAGCTGCTGCTCCTGGAAAATTCCAACTTCTCCTCGAATATGTACCCTTCCCAGGAACTTGTAAGTTAATCTTCGAAGTAGAACAATGTATTTTAATTATAAATCTTTAAAAAAAATTAGTACATGAAAAGAAAGCAAAGAGATCAATTTTTGAAAAAAAAATATTCCAAAGCCTATAGTGACAAAATAAACCAACAGAAAAGACTGAGTTCAGAAAATTGAAGTATCATGACTATGTATTTTAGACTGGATCATAAAGCTTGGACCAGTAAAGAATGACCAATACCAGTATTCTGTTGTGACCAATAATAAGGGCAGTCAACTCTATGTGCTTACACGTGACCGTGCTGGGTACATGAGCCTATATGATAAAGAAATCCGAGAGTTCCTTGTCGATACTGGATTCACAGAAGATTACACCAGACCCATATTCACCCCACATGAAGCTGATTGCACATATGTTGACAAGAAACAGCCCAACGACCTGGATGACCTTATTAACGCCATTGTTGGATAAAATCAACTTTGTGATTTTTATATGTCATTATTTATTATTTGTATTGAATACATATTTATATAATTGAGAAAGCATATTATATTTTCCTAGTTGTTTCAATTACACAAATGAAAGTTAGATGGAGAGTACTATTTGATATCTTGAAAATAACATTTCTAGTAATTATATGAGTGGAGTGACATGATTGGCCATTATTAGTTATCCAATATATGTTTACAATGGTATACATATATCTTTCTCATTTTCTCAGTCCAATGAGCTCATGAAAGTTTATTAGTCAGTTAGACTATTACAACTGTAGTATACTAATTTACCACTTATTTTCTTTAATTCAAAAAAGTCTTGAATTTAAGAATGGTATATATCAAAGAGCATTTTATCCCCCACCACATTCTACAGTAAAACCTGCGTACAATGAACACCTATGGAGCCACAAAAATGTGTTCACTTTAGGTAGATGTTCAATACAGTGTGGGTAACTTATACAGTAGCCATACAGAGAAACAGGTGTTCACAAGAAAGAAGTTCACTGAAATAGGTTTTACTGTATATTCTTCCAAATAAGAAATGAACATTTAAAAGTTGGAATTTTTATTTTATAAAAATCAGGATTTCTTCCTTGTCTAGAACATTCGGTAGGCTACTGTGATCATAGTGACAATAAAGCAATGATCTGACCTGCCTAATACCATGCTACATCACTTACCAATGGATGATGCAAACACAAGTCCCAGGCCACAAGCTAGAGGACCTCCCATGTTGAGAAACTTTTCACTAGGTGCACAGGCTGCTATGGTAGACAAACCTATGAATATACATGTACATGATTATATTATGAATTGAATACGAGAACAATGTATATTGATATGTCACTTAAGCATATAATTGAATTCAATCTATTTAATTTTAAAATTTCATATTACATAATATGTACAAAATTGTAAATTATAAAGTATATATATAAAAATTTCATAATTAATAGTTTTAATATTGAATATGCAAAAACAAAATTGAATAAAGTGAACAAGCAAGTATTTACTATTAAATTGGAATTTAAGAATATCAAGTCCAATCAAGTTTTCGATAGAGTGAAATATGTGTAAAACAAGACCTGGACAAAGTAACTTAGATTGTATAGTTTCAATATGTTGTATCAAGTAAAACCCACCTCCTACTATACCAGCTGTCATCCATGCTGCTCTCACCAGTATGGGGCCCCCTAATAAACACAGAGGGGCTATTACTGCACCCATAATTCCTGCATGTCCCATCCAGGCCAGCTGTTTAGCACCAAATCCTTCCTTATATGGTATAGATCTCACTACCATACCACTGCCGATTATAACTGCAAATGTTCCAATCATGGCCTGAAAGTAGAATCATTTACTACGTAATGAAGTCAGTGTTCACAGGCCTTGTCACCGCGACTCTGTCTCAGCCATGCATAACATTAACAACTTTGTGCATTTTGTGAATAAACTAGACTATGTCCGAGCTTATTAACCTAATTGTTCTTAATGCAATGGCCTACATTAGTATCAGCATTAGTGCACCATTCAAAGGTTTGGATGACATCTCCACACAGGAAAGGTAGGGATTTTGACAAAATAAAAACTCGACTGTCAAATTTCCTACCCTAAGAGCATCCTACTTGTCATTTCTCCATTCTGGGATCAATAATAGCAGGTCAAATATAGACAAACATTAGTTGGTCAAAATTTTGATTACCTTGAAAAAGCATAATTGTTTAGTTTGGCAGTTTAAAAGTATCAAGCTATCCAATGGTTTAAAATCCATACCATTATAGAATTTTTCATCATCAAATTCAGGATAACAGGTGATCTGCTGGCTGCCAGAGCTGATGCAGCCGTGATTGCAATGCCTCCACCAAAGTACATGTAGGTTGTCTTGATACGATCCCTCACTATCTGAGGCCATAAACTGTAAATTAAAACATTGTTTAAGCACAAAAAAATTCAAGATGCTTGTTTACCCAGGTTGAATCTAATTTCATCAAATTTACTTTTTTTAATTTACATTTGATAAAAAGCTCAGTGTATATGCACCCTACATGTATGTTGTGTAGGTACTTCTCTTTTACAAAATGTAACATATTACCCAATCAAGAAACCATCAAAACTGGGCATATTAACTGTATGAGTGTACACTCTTGAAAATATGACTGAAGTAGGACTTACACAGCTCTGTCTATAGCTCCAACCTGATTGGACAAGCCAAGACCATAGAAAGCCAGACTTCCTATACCCAGTAAAGAAGCTCCGGCAACTAGACCCCGTCCCATAGTGAATGCTGAAACATTGATTTAAAAACAAAATTACATGGATATTCACTCATATTTAAAATATAGCTTCATTCGTAAGTACATATATCATCGTTTATATAAAATATGTTTTTGTTTAGGATATAAAACTTCAAAAGAGTGATAAACATCAAACCATGCATTGCATTTCATGATTATCTCAACAAGATTGTATGTTCATAAGAGTGGACTGAACCTCAAAATAATGCAATCAGTTAGATTCAATACTTTTTCACTGCGATAACTATCTAAAGGCATAAAAATTTAGTGGCAAATATGAATGTTTCCATGTGAATGATTGAGATGCCAAATTTAAACCAAGAGAATACACACTTTTTTCAATCAATCTTTAGAAATTGTCAAGAACCTCAAAATCTAAGTGAATTACTGCCGTCCAACAAGATATAAATTTTGTTATTAAAATCAACACCTTAAATATGAGATTTGGAATCTGGCATTTGATAGATATAGGTCTAATAAACAAGAAGTCCAATGGAAGGGCCTGTATGTTTTTTTGCTTGATGCTTAACAAAAAAGTTCTAAAAATTTACCAGTGTCCCCTGCAGGAGCCATAATTTTCTCCTTGAGTGTCTGTGTTTGGGATGTAGTTTGTTGGCGTGTCCTTCTAAAGGGACGTGATACCTTAGCCTGTGACGCATATTGTCTTGTTCTGGCTACTATGTTAGGGACAGTCAGAGGCTGCGAAAGGAGGCTTGGCTTTGAAAGTGTTGTCACAAATGCTGTGAGAGGAACTTGTGTCAATCTGGCTGCAGCAAACATGTTTCTAAAATCAAAGATTCTCTGATGGTTGATATACCTGTGTTTCCATATCAACAGCATAAAGTTTGATACAAAAACAATACAGAATACAGATCTTCGAAAAAACAGTGCGTATGGAGGAAATGTATCCAGCCAGCCCCATGAGAAAACGTAATTGGACATGATTCTACTCAGCTCTCTGCCCGGAGGTTACCTCATATTAAGAAAAAATTGAAGAAAAGGGCAAAATGAAAAAATATATGGATGTTATCATTGACGAGGTACAGAATGTGAACAGTATACACTTCTTTCCATAATCTAGATAATATGCTATCTTCATGATCGACATAACATGATACAGTTACATTCGTGTTTACAAAATCCTGGGAGTGAAGGTAGACTATATCCTATTTAGTCTGAATTATATTCAGACTATAAGGCACCTATGTTAAAGTTTGGTAATTCCAAATATTTGTTTACATAGGAAGTGCTATTCAAAATGGCCGATTGGGTAAAATTAATTTGCAAATTTTTACTTCAACTAGCTTTATTTCCACTAGACAATATGCTGTGTTACTTTTTATTGCATTTAATTGTACCTTACTATTTAATTGAAATTTTGTAATGTTTATTTTATTGAAAAAATGTTTCCTCCAATTGATAATTTTGTGCAAAAAATTTCACTGCAATTTCCACAGGAAAGTAGTACATCATAACAGACTGACTTCTAGTCAGTCTGTTGGATACATACTAGGAGTGAAGGTAAGTTATCTCGTTCCAAAACTATCTCTATGAGAGGATGGTGTTGGAACAAAATAAGAGGTAAGTAAAAGTTGAATTCTTTAATTATATCTTATTTTTGATATTTGATTGACGATATAAAACAATGAAATAGGCTGCGAGTGTGTCATCATGATCAAACGTAGATGTGGATCCACTTATTTGACTATCGGAGTTTTGATAGGGTCACTGCAGCTATGACAAATCTCAGATATATAAATAAAGGCCCAGAGGCGCATGAATGCACCTAGCCTAGTAGTCCAACAACATTAGACCTAGCCTGGGCCTCGTTTCTTATCTGACATGTCTTATCGCCCTGGCTAGGTCTAACTTCCATGATGATTTTGCCCTTGTTGCGATCATTTAATCGTTCAGCAGGTTTCGACATGCGGAACTAATTAAACTCCGAAAACATGGTAATATTACATAAAGAATGTGATTCAAGCATGCATACATACCTTATAAATACATACACACCATCCCGTACCCCCCTTAGATTATATTGATGCATAATTACGAAAATATTGGAGACAGGTTTGGAATTTTACGAAAATATCGGTCAGCTCCGGTAACATCGAAATTGCAAATCGTATCAGGAATTAACCGTCATTGCGACACTGCATCAACGAACAGTAGGTTTGCAATTAATAACGATTTTGTGTGTATACAAGCGCTATATAAATCAATCAAAGATACCTGCTATCCTCAAAAATGGCTATTTTATCCCGAGTAATCGCGTGATAATTATCAATCTATTTGACAACAATTTCGTTTCAATAGTTTAAATTTTAACCCGGGACGAACAGACACAATGAAGGACATGCGGAAATGTCATTTTAAAGATTGGTAAGTTTAACCTCATTTTACTTGTATAAATGACCATTTAATACAATAATATTGTGTTGAATCGCTTGATGTTATGTGTTTTTATATTGTTGTCAAGTATCAGTTGCATGTTATCGCGGAAAAATGGTTTCGGTGGATCCAAAACTTGCATCAATGGAAAGAATAGTAAAGAGGTTAAACTCAATAATGGCCCCAAGAAAATTCTTAATAATAAATAACGCCGTTATTGAGTTTAACGACGTTGAACTACTAGCCTAGATCAAACGATGATGATGATGCAACTGGATTTTCGTACAAAATATATCGTAACGTGCAAGAAGAAAGTGTAATCCACAAAAACAGGTTTGTAGGAGACCACATTCAATTTACTATATTCACGAACACATTTTCATCAGTTGACACAATATATTAACTAAGTTAACTCACCAAATGTGGAAATTACAAAAACATGAAAATTTTTTCCAGAAAATTGTAACCGGAAGTTGTTATTACAGAGCTAGTAATTTCATATATAAACTCTATAGTATTTCAATGATGATACACTTTCCGAAATTTCTGTTGTGTTTATTTACTAGTTCTACAAGGCTCATACCTTTAACTAATAATAGAGTTTTAATCTATATAAAATATGCTTAAAAATTGAGAACTTTGACAAATTTCTTTTTAGGAAATAAGTACGAAAATATTAGCTTATTAAAAAGTTAATGCCGAAACAACTTTCAAATACAACTCAAAGTCAAATAAATAGTCTATTTGTTTTCTCTTAAAATTTCAACAACATTTTTCCTCCCAAAGAAAAGACAACTTCAACATTATCAATAAGTATCGCGGTGAGTTCCCTTGACAACTTACCTCTACTCCACATTTTGGCTTCACCTGAGATGAAGAAAAGATACAGATACCATGGGCTGGATCCAGTAGTACATCATCTGAGACTAACATATGAGTATGTAAGTCTCAGCCACAGTGTCTATCTAGTGAGTTATTCTACTAACCCCCCTCCACCTTCTAACGAAAGTCAAAATGTTGATTCACGAGAGAAAGCCCATCTTTTTATGCAGCATACAAGTACGTACAACCCAAGCATACAAATCTGCTATTCACAACAACATAGAGGAAATGGTCCTAATTATTGCACGGTCTTAATTATTGCACAATTGCCCTAAATAGCTATAATATACTGTACATCTTTTAACCCTGTGTTAATAACACCAGTTCAACACCATTACTCCCAATCTTCATGATTTATTAATATATTTAGAAATATCTCTCCATTTTTTAAAAATATTTACTTCCGCAATTGTCATAAAGCGATTGCGCTAGAAGTGAAATTCGTCTGACAAAGTTTGACCCCCTCCAAATAAAGACAGAAAAGTAAGTGAATTATATAGATTTTACTGATAGTTTACACTAAAACTGATAGAAAAATGATTATAGCATATGTATACATCTATTATTAACAGTGAAATATATCCAGTATCATGAAATAACATTCAAAATACCGTGCGATAATTAGGATGACTGCAATAATTAGGACCACCACACATGTAAGTCTATAAGGGGTCTTAAAGTGTTAGCGTTCGGAGATTGAGAAATGTCAAACACAATTTGAATTATAGAAGAAAGGTTGATCTTTTGTTTCATACCCTCAAAATAAGTTGAAGTTATCATTTTTGAAACTGTCAGTAGCTTTCCAAAGTACCCTTGCGGTGATAGGACAGATTTCCCCCTAATTAATACCGTTTTAATTTTTTGTGATGGACATTGAAATATTGACCCGGCCCCTTAGAATTTGGTTTTCTAAAACATTTGTTTTTTCAAGATTTCCAAAAACCATCAGCATGGCTGGCATGATTTCCAAGCACAATCAACATGACTGGTATTATTTCCAAGCATTCAACATGACTGGTATGATTTCCAAGCACAATCAGCATGGCTGGCATGATTTCCAAGCATAATCAGCATGACTGGCATGATTTCCAAGCACGATCAACATGACTTGTATGATTTCCAAGCACAATAAGCATGACTGGCATGATTTCCAAGCACAATCAGCATGACTAGCATGATTTCCAAGCACAATCAGCATGACTGGCATGATTTCCAAGCACAATCAGCATGCCTGGCATGATTTCCAAGCACAATCAGCATGACTGGCATGATTTCCAAGCATAATCAGCATGACTGGCATGATTTCCAAGTACAATCAACATGACTTGCATGATTTCCAAGCACAATAAGCATGACTGGCATGGTTTCCAAGCACAATCAGCATGACTAGCATGATTTCCAAGCACAATCAGCATGACTGGCATGATTTCCAAGCACAATCAGCATGACTGGCATGATTTCTAAGCACGATCAGCATGACTGGCATGATTTCCAAGCACAATAAGCATGACTGGCATGATTTCCAAGCACTATCAGCATGACTGACATGATTTGCAAACATTATCAGCATGACTGGCTTGATTTCCAAGCACAATCAACAATGAGTGACATGATTTCCAAGCATAATCAGCATGCCTGGCATAATTTCCAAGTACAATCAACATGACTTGCATGATTTCCAAGCACAATCAGCATGACTGGCATGAGTTCCAAGCACAATCAGTATGACTAGCATGATTTCCAAGCACCATCAGCATGACTGGCATGAGTTCCAAGTACAATAAGCATGAGTGACATGAGTTCCAAGCACAATAAGCATGACTTGCATGATTTCCAAGCACAATCAGCATGAGTGGCATGAGTTCCAAGCGCAATAAGCATGACTGGCATGATTTCTAAGCACGATCAGCATGACTGGCATGAGTTCCAAGCACAATCAGCATGACTGGCATGAGTTCCAAGCACAATCAGTATGACTAGCATGATTTCCAAGCACCATCAGCATGAGTGGCATGAGTTCCAAGCACAATAAGCATGACTGGCATGATTTCCTAGCACAATAAGCATGACTGGTATGAGTTCCTAGCACAAGCAGCATGACTGGCATGATTTCCAAGCACAATAAGCATGACTGACATGATTTCCAAGTATAATCAGCATGACTGACATGATTTCCAAGCACGATCAACATGACTGGCATGATTTCCAAGCACAATAAGCATGACTGGCATGATTTCCAAGCACAATAAGCATGACTGGCATGATTTCCAAGTACAATCAGCATGACTGGCATGATTTCCAAGCACAATAAGCATGACTGGCATGATTTCCAAGCACAATTAGCATGACTGGCGTGATTTTCAAGCACAATCAGCATGATTTTCAAACATAATCAGCACGGCTGGCATGATTTCCAAGCACAATATTATAAGCATGATTGACATGATTTCCAAGCATAATCAGCATGACTGGCATGATTTCCAAGTACAATAAGCATGACTGGCGTGATTTTCAAGCACAATCAGCATGATTTTCAAACATAATCAGCATGACTGGCATGATTTCCAAGCACAATATTATAAGCATGATTGGCATGATTTCCAAGCATAATCAGCATGACTGGCATGATTTTCAAGCACAATCAGCATGATTTCCAAGCACAATCAGCATGACTGGCATGATTCCCAAGCACAATTAGCATGACTGGCATGAGTTCCAAGCACGATCAACATGACTGGCATTATTTCAATGCATCATCAGCACGGCTGGCATGATTTCCAAGCACAATAAGCATAACTGGCATGATTTCCAAGCACAATAAGCATGACTGGCATGATTTCCAAGCACAATCAGCATGGCTGGCATGATTTCCAAGCACAATATTATAAGCATGATTGACATGATTTCCAAGCATAATCAGCATGACTGGCATGATTTCCAAGCACAATAAGCATGACTGGCGTGATTTTCAAGCACAATCAGCATGATTTCCAAGCACAATCAGCATGACTGGCATGATTCCCAAGCACAATTAGCATGACTGGCATGAGTTCCAAGCACGATCAACATGACTGGCATTATTTCAATGCATCATCAGCACGGCTGGCATGATTTCCAAGCACAATAAGCATGACTGGCATGATTTCCAAGCACAATCAGCATGGCTGGCATGATTTCCAAGCACAATAAGCATGACTGGCATGATTTCCAAGCACAATAAGCATGATTGGCATGATTTCCAAGCATAATCAGCATGACTGACATGATTTCCAAGCACAATCAGCATGATTTCCAAGCACAATCAGCATGACTGGCATGATTTCCAAGCACAATCAGCATGGGTGGCATGATTTCCAAGCACAATATCATAAGCATGATTGACATGATTTCCAAGCATAATCAGCATGACTGACATGATTTCCAAGCACAATAAGCATGACTGGCGTGATTTTCAAGCACAATCAGCATGATTTTCAAACATAATCAGCATGACTGGCATGATTTCCAAGCACAATATTATAAGCATGACTGGCATGATTTCCAAGCATAATCAGCATGACTGGCATGATTTCCAAGCACAATCAGCATGACTGGCATGCGTTCCAAGCACAATAAGCATTACTGGCATGAATTCCAAGCACAATAAGCATGACTGGCATGATTTTCAAGCACAATCAGCATGATTTCCAAGCACAATCAGCATGCCTGGCATGATTTCAAAGCACAATCAGCATGACTGGCATGAGTTCCAAGCACAATAAGCATGACTGGCATGATTTCCAAGCACAATAAGCATGACTGGCATGATTTTCAAGCACAATCAGCATGACTGGCATGATTTCCAAGCATAATCAGCATGACTGGCATGATTTCCTAGCACAAGCAGCATGACTGGCATGATTTCCAAGCACAATCAGTTTGACTGGAATGAGTACTAAGCACAATCAGCATGACTGTCAAAATTGCAAAGTATATTGATCATGACCAACTTTCCAAACACAATCAGCATGACTGGCATGATTTCACATGTTTCAAGGGGAGTGCCCCTGTCAAGTTACACGTAGAGTCTGAAAACAAATAATGGTAGCGACAATATTGCAATAGTAAAAATCTTATTTCAATTGATTGGGTCATAAAATAAGTACTTAACTATATTAAATACAAGCATAAAGTCATGTATGTTTCTAACCTTATACATACTATATTAGTATATTAATTGAATCTGATTCTATCATTCTGATGTGATTTAGAAACTTTCACGATGATGTTTTACTCAGCAGGTAAGTGATTTGTCAAATAGAAAGTGGAAATGTTTTTAAATGTGAGAAGAAATATGACAGTTCTTTTTCTTATTATACAGCTTTTCTTATGTCACCACCAAGAAAACTTGTCATATTGTTGTTATCTGGCTTTTCCCGCCAGTTTTGTGATTGACATTCTGTGATTGGGAGTTTGCTTTCAGCAGTTTGCAGGTGGTGGCATTTTATCATTTTTTTAAAAAAATGTGAAAATATTTTTTGTTGTATGCATGATGTATAAATTATTTTTGAATAAGTTACTGTTTTGCGTTTTCTTTATTTTAAACTAAAACTATATATTTGAAAATAAATGCACTGCACTACAGGTATATATTGTCAAGAAAGGTTTTAAATTAAGGTTGCGTCCTTTGTAACGATGTTGAAAATGTTATATATTGAATTCTATTTTTTACTTTTTAAAATATGAATTATATATGATTAAACTTTAATTTTTACTTTTTAAAATATGAATTGTACATTGTATATGGTATTTACTTAAAATTGTGTTTCAAAATAAAGTCTGCTCATTTTCAGTTATTGAGGGGGCATGCTTAAAGCTTTCTTGAAAACATATGTCTTTTATTGACTCTTTGAGGCCATAACAATGATATTTTGATATCACAAAACATTATCACATGTTTCTTTGAGTGTAAGAAAAAGTAAAACTCTCCAGTGTTTTGGTGAGAAAATTTGAATTTTTAAATGGAACCAAATTGAGAAGTGTTATACCCACTTACTAACACAAGTGGTTTTCTATGGATAAACTACATTTTAGGTTTTAGGAAAAGTTAGAGTACCCTACAAAGGAGTGGTATCGATATGGAGAACTGAATTCAACAATGTTTTTCTCTTAAATCAATCATTGAAAACATTCTGTAAAAAACACGGTACTTTATGTAATGTTGACTGATTGACAACAATTTAATGCGAAAATTATTTATTTTTTATTTTTGTTAACATTTTTTGTTTTTTTAGTGTAATTGTTTTTGCTCCTTTCTAACAATTCTTGAGAATGAAATAAAATGTCTTTCCGAACCTTGTTGGAACAAAATAGCATATACAACATGTTTTTAGACCTCTCAATATTATAGTTATACAAAGGAATTTTCGGTTGATTTCAAAAAAGTATTCAAAAAATTAAAACAAAATCCCTCCAAAATAGATAAAAATCAAGATAAACCTTTTATTTCATTAACAAGATACTTTTTTAAAATCAACCAAAATTTCCTTTGTACAATTACAATATTGAGAGACCTAAACATGTTGTGTTTATGTCGTTTTGTTCCAATGAGGTTGGGAAAGATGTTTCATTTCACTCTGAAACATGATACCAAGAACAAAACAAGTGTTTGATGTGTTTTCTAAAACAATATAGATGAATGAATGTATATATATATATATATATTTCAAATTATATTGTTACCATTCAAAAGATGACCATTAAATTGACAATGTGTAAAATTTTCAGAATTTTTTGATGACTGGTTTAAGAGAAACGTGTGTTCAAAAAGTTCGCCATATCGATACCCATCCTTTTATAAACCTACAAGGAACATCCTTATTCTAATTATTAAATAATTTTCAGGATTGCTTGTGGTGGTATTCTTGGCTGGGGAGACAGCAACATCCCAGTATGATAAGCCAGCATCTGGGGTATGTAGACTTCAGTTTGTGTTACTGAATTGATTTCAATTTTCTTTCATTATTATGTCCATACCACAGTGTGGGGCCATATTGTCGGCCTAGGCACACAAGTCTGTCTGTCCATCCATGTGTCTGTGCATCCGACAGTTTTCTTTCTCTCCTTTTAAGCTTTAAATGAATTAGTTTCTTTTGATTATGTATATTATGTTTCAGAAATATTAAATTTTTAATGAATTTGAAAACAATATACCCTCCTAATGGTTGGCCCTTTCTTAAATGGGTAGTATTCACACCAGGATTTTCTGTGAGCGCAGTCAGCTCAGCGAGCTCTTATATGTATAGTCAGAGTGTAAATATCATTTAAAAAGGACCAACTATGTAATAAGGAAGTGATATATAAGTGTTACGCTATGGGAGATCTTGATGTGGAAGGGTCTGAGATAAAATGTTATATTTCACAAGGGATATATCCCATAATCATAAATCATACATCACAACTAATTCAGCCTCTCGTGTTTATTGTGTCATGAATTAACAAATCTTTCACAATTCTAAACACTTTATTTGATCTACATACTTAAGTTTTGAATATGAATTATATCATTAATTATACTACCTGTATGTTGTAACATAGTTCTATCTATCATTTGGCAGTTTGTCATGTTTATGTTTACAAAACTAATACATAGCATGGGATATAGATATGTACCTGAAATTGCACTTGTTATAATATGATCACACCGGAATAACTTGACAACGGTAAAGTCAGATACCCTTGTCACAAATGGTGGACATAACCGTCGCTTCAACTCTTCAATTTCTTTTTATATGGTAATCTATTTATTTCATAAATCTTATTTAACATCAGATGGCTTGCCAATCGACAAAAAGGCATTATAGGCAAAGCTTAAAGATAACAATATACCTAACATGAGCTAATTATGAACAACATAAGTACGTGCATTCTGGTTTTCAGGGGGAGTCTGGCTAATAATAAGAATGAAGAGGTCTCAAGTCATTGATTCACGAGGGCAAAAAGGAGGGGGATAGTGGCGAAAACCATGGAAGGGATCTTATTTTATATGGTCTTGAATAAAGCTTGCCACGTTGATTAAGTGTTCCTTCTTTTGTAAGGGTGAGAGGTCGTTACTTCCATATTTCAAAAAATGCATAATTTGGTTTTCGTTTTTGATAGTTTGCAGTTTATATCTGGATAACTTATTAAAAAGCATTGTTCTAATTGCAGTATTTTGAGGGCATCTGAAAAAAACATGTTTTGGGGTCTCAGGTAATCCACATGTGCAGTTTGGAGTGTTTAATGTTGTAAAATTGTGTGCATATAGTTGTGCATTAAAAATCAAATCTACTCTGAATCTGTTCATTAAGATTTCTAAGTTTATGTTTAGATTTAAGCTAGTAATAGTGTCAAACTTCGGTTTTAATTTTAATCAGTTTCTTTTGACAATTTTTGAAGCTGGAGAGACTTTGGCTATCTTTAAGATACTGAGGGACTTTGTTCCACATTGATGCACCATTAAAGATTGGTGAGTTTTTCAGTTTATCTGAACTCTTCAATCACTTGGTCCTTGTTTCATGGGACTTAATCGTCGCTAATTTTGTGTGTGTATTAAGCTCTTGTGATGATGTATAATATGAAATCCCATTTTCCATCAAATTGGGTCGTGAATCGCCACAATATAGCGTCTTCGATATTGTCAATGACAACGGAATCTGAATCTGGGATGATTTACAAAGACAACGGCATATGGTAAATTATTTAAAATTCAGATTCCGTTATATTGTGGTGATTCACGACCCAATTTGATAGAAATTGGATTTCATATGATACATACATCATCACAAGAGCTTAATACATGCACAAAATTAGCGACGATAAAGTCCAATGAAACGAGGACCAAGTGATTGAAGAGTTGAGGCAACGGTATGTCTGCCATTTGTGACAACGATATCTGACTTTAACGTTGTCAGGCTATTCCGGTGTGATGATAATACATCATCATCTATTAAATGTAACTCTATGTTCCTTGTTTTTCATAGGAGGTCAATCTTGAGAAGAGGAGGGAAAGAGAGCCTGGAGAATTGCCCCCCATACCTCCAGTCATGATTTTCACAGGATGGGAATGTGAACGTTGCTACCCTGGATATGGAATCTACATTGGCTTCAGATGTAAATATGTCATAGACAGAAAGTATAGTATTTTCAATGTACCACCATATAGGAGTTGGTGGCAGTGCCAAGATTGTCGGGACCAGAACTGCCCAGTCAACAAGTTCTTCGACTGTAGGTCATGTAAACGAAAATTCTGGCGCTATTAAACAAGAAATCTGTTGATGATCCTTCTGTTAAAATAAATTTATTTGAAATTGACATCTTTTTTCTTTGAATATAATCACTAAGGTTAAAGTGCTATAACAGTCTAAAACAGCAAAACAATTCTCTTTAGAGCTCAAATAATTCAATGTGATAAATATATGAGGGGCGATCAATAAGTATGTGGGCAGGGGCATTGTCCATATGGAATAAGGTGTTTCCTTCTCTCACCAACTGCTTCTTCCACTATACTTTCACAAATTGACCTGGTAATCCTAATCAAACAACACTTTGACCTCAAGATACTTACCTTTTATGCATTACTAGGTAACATAATATTTAAAACAACACAACACTTGAGACATTTCAAAAAGTTCAAATATAACTGTTTGCCGAAGCTAAAAAAGCTTCAGAATATGTATCGTAGATATATCAATATGTATTACATTTTGTCTTCAAATCTTCAGAGAGCTGGCTAAAAGATTGGTCTATAAAAAACATCCATGTAAAAAAGCTATTATTTATCAATCAGCCCTCGTTTAGCATTTGAATAAGTTAAACAACCAAGAAACAAACAAGTGGCCATAAAAACAAGTAACAGAAATATACAAATGCTGTCATTTGAACCAAAATGACAAGGCAAGAATAATTCAAATGATTCATTTTAAAAATCACTGTTTCTTGACAAAATAAAAATAGCAAAGTTACCTTATTTATTTGACCCGGTAGCATACAAGTTATCAATGCAGTGTCTGAATCACATTTGTTTTAGTTGAATAAAGGACACACAGCCCTGTGCTCACACTATGAATTGTAACCACATTTTGTTTTGAAAAGATTAACAGAAAACCCTTTTTGTCCAAATTACATGAGTTAGTAACTGAGTCATTAAGTTTCTCAGAATGACTTAGTTACTTAGTTAGATGTTAGAACCTCTGCCAGATAGTGGAGCCAGTTAATAATAGATTCAAAAATCAAATTAAGTAATAAAGTCAGAACTGCTGGACATGACATGGAATAATGACACTTTTTCAATTTTCAAAATGCAGAGAGGGTTAGGAATTTGACACCCAGTATTGCCCCAGGGATGGATTTTGACATTGTACTTCATCCTGGGAGTAGGGACTTTGGAATTGCATTTTCCAGGTAATCAGAATTTTGACACAAGAACACAAATGTGTACAAAATGTCCCCACCAAGTGGTGATCCAGTGAAATGGTTATCCTGAAAATGAGTAGACAAGACTTTACCAACACAATTTGAGGATGGAAAATCCAAAGTGGCCACCTTAAAATTTACCCAGAATGCCAAAAATTTAGTCAGTTCTAGATTTTCATACTAAGAACCACCCCTGAAAATTTGAAATTGATCCGTCACACAGTTAACCGGAAAACATGTAAACAAGACTTTACAGACAAGATTTCAGGATGGAAAATCCAAAATGGCTGCCTTGACATTTACCCAGAATGTCAAAAAACTAATCTGTTTGTAGATTTTCTTACTGAGAATCATCCCTGAAAATATAAAATTGATCTACCAAACGGTTCACCTGAAAACGGGTAGACAAGACTTTACAGACAAGATTTTAGGACAGAAAATCCAAAATTGCTGCCTTAACATTTACGCAGAATGCAAAAAAACTAATCAGATGTAGATTTTCATACAAAGAATCATCCCTGAAAATTTGAAATTGATCTATCAAACCATTCACCTAAAAACGCGTAGACAAGACTTTACAGACAAGATTTTAAGACGGAAAATCCAAAATGGCTGCCTTGACATTTACCCAGAATACAAAAAAACTAACCAGTTCTAGATTTTCATTCTAAGAATCATTCCTGAAAATTTAAATTGATCTACCAAACCGTTCACCTGAAAACGAGTAGACAAGACTTTACAGACAAGATTTTAGGACGGAAAATCCAAAATGGCTGCCTTGACATTTACCCAGAATGCCAAAAAACTAATGAGATCTAGATTTTTATACTAAGAATCATCCCTGAAAATTTGAAATTGATCCACCAAATGGTTCACCTGAAAACGCGCAGACAAGACTTCACAGACAAGATTTTAGGACCGAAAAATCCAAAATGGCCGACAATAAAAAAGTCCTTATGAGTTTTTGTTGATTTCTTTTTACAAAATTATCACATATAACTACTGTTAACAATAAAGTAGGCTTTTACAACAAAGTACATCTGAAATTATTTATAAAGCTACTAAATAGTTAAAGTATGAAAACTCAAAAAACCATTCAATATGATACAAAGTATTATCGCGCGCTAACTTTTCTTAAGACATTCAAAATGGCTGACATGACTGAGCTAGCAGGTCCAAAACCTAATCAGATCTAGAATGAAGTGAGCTGAACAAGATGATAAAGTTTTAAAAGCAACTGTGAAGCAGTTTTTCTTAAAGTTTGCAGACAAGGATTTTAGCATTTGACTTCAAAATGGCCGACAGGAAGTAGGTTTCGAGTTAAATTTTTTTCATCCACATCTATAGGCACTCATAAGTTATCCCTGAAAATTTGAAGGTGATATCTGTAGCGGTTTTGGAGAAAACTCCCGGATGTACGGACGGACAGACAGACGGACAGACGGACGGACGGACAGACGGACGGACAGACAGTCGGACGCGCCTAGGCCGACAATATGGCCCCACACTATGTGGTGGGGACATAATAAAAAGGAGGAGGGAAAGTACCGCAACAGATTTCAGACAGTCATATGTTGAATTTTGGCTATTTTCTCAGGATTAAACAGGTGCATATGTTAGGCCAATGCATTATCTCCAGGAAAAGCACTCATAGAGATGATAAAATAATTTTGACTTTGAGACAGGGAAGATGCAAACAACCCATCCACATGTTTTTTCTGAAATGTTGTCCTAATTTTCAACCCCTTCCACCCCTGCCTTTCCAATTTTGTTGCATCAATATGTTGCGTTTTGACACACAATTAAACCCTTTAAAGGAATAAATAATTCCTTCGGGGGTTTTAAAGATATCCATTATGGGTGACCAAAATTAGCTGCAAGCAAGGAAACGAAGAACTTTCCCTATGGGAAAATAACATGGAGACTATTGTTTTTCACTTTATCATAGAGGAATCAGTTATTCCTTTAAAGGGGTTAACTGTGCCTTAAAATGCAACATATTGATGCAACACAATTGAAAAAGCAAGGATGGAAGGGGTTGAAAATCAGGATATTTCAGAAAAACATGTGGGTGGGTTGTTTGCACCTCCCCACTTTCAAAATCGAAATTATTTTATCATCTCTATGAGTGCTTTTCCTGGAGATAATGCATTGGCCTAACATATACACCTGTTTAAATCCTCAGAAAATAGCCAAAATTCAATATATGACTGTCCAAAATCTGTTGTGATACTTTACCTCCTCCTTTGAGCAGTACAACAAAGTACAGAACAATATTTATATTTACAAATACATATATTATGTGGTTTATTTCTCAAGCAAAACTCAGTCAAATCTTCTCACATCAAAATGTCAACATCTAAGTATAAAATTAACATTTCATATAATACAGCTTGATATGTCAGATATGGTCCAATAAACTATAGCTTTACTTAATCAAACGTACATGTATGAGGCTCTATCAAAGCCTAGATTTTGTACAACTGAAGACTTAACCTTCATAAAAGTTGAATTACTACAATACAAACTTCACTTTAAAAATTCAAGTCTAGTCTATGATTTACAGAAATAAAATTCTCGAGAGACTCAATATTACTAAGAATTGAGACAGCGATGTTTATACATTGGTTATTACATTAATAACATACTGCAAGCTGTCAGAAGAAAAGACATGACAAAATGTCACCACCTGCAAATGGTTACAATGGATGTAATCAACTGATGCTGAATGGAAGTCAAAGACAAAAGAACCTATGACATTATGGCATCACTTTTTGGTGGTGTACTAAAATGTAGTTAAATCACAAAGGGGAAGCATTGCATGGACCATTGCACTCATCCATATGGGTTTATACAAAGGGAAACTGCAATGTAACATGCACAAGCACTACTAACTTGAAATGGTCACTTTAAAGAGATAGTTCAAAATAGAAATTTTGATAATCTGCATGATATACATCTATCGAGAACCCCCATTGCTAGCATGCATATAAGTGAGTATATATTTGATGATAGAGTGATTGAATATGACAGAGTGAGTGAAATTCCACTACATATTTGAATATGATAGAGTGAGTGAAATTCCACTACATATTTGAATATGACAGAGTAAGTGAAATTCCACTACATATTTGAATGTGATAGAGAGGGTGATATTCCCCTACATCTTTGAATATGATAGAGTGAGTGAAATTCCGCTACATATTTGAATATGATGGAGCGACTGAAATTCCCCTAGATCTTTAAATATGATAGAGTGAGTGAAATTCCACTACATATTTGAATATGATAGATTGAGTGAAATTCCACTACATATTTGAATATGATAGAGTGAGTGAAATTCCACTACATATTTGAATGTGATAGAGAGGGTGATATTCCCCTACATCTTTGAATATGATAGAGTGAGTGAAATTCCACTACGTCTTTGAATATGATAGAGTGAGTGAAATTCCACTACATATTTGAATGTGATAGAGAGGGTGATATTCCCCTACATCTTTGAATATGATAGAGTGGGTGAAATTCCACTACGTCTTTGAATATGATAGAGTGAGTGACATTCCACTACACATTTGAATATGATAAAGTGAGTGAAATTCCCATACATCTTTGAATATGATAGAGAGTGAAATTCCACAACATATTTGAATATGATAGAGTGAGTGACATTCCACTACACATTTGAATATGATAGAGTGAGTGGAATTCCCCAACATCTTTGAATATGATAGAGTGAGTGAAATTCCCCCACATCTTTGAATATGATAGAGTGAGTGGAATTCCCCAACATCTTTGAATATGATAGAGTGAGTGAAATTCTACATATTTAAATGACTACCATGGAAGTCCAATTTATAATGTACATAGTACTAAACATTCTTGGATACATTAAAAATATATAGATTTCAGTAAACATAAATATTATACACCTTTTGATAAAAACTCACTACCTAATATGTTATATAAATTTTCAAAAAATAGTAATTATTTTACAATTTACTTCCATGAACTGTTGACTACATGAGCTTTTTGCAAATGTGTCTGCTCCAATATGCACTTCAATTCACATTTCTTAAAAGAACAAAAGAATGCAACAGAAATTTCTTGATAATCTGATTTTTTAAAATGGATAGCTAGATCATCCATCATTCTGTTATAGTGAAATGACACATAATAAATATATAGATGCCTCAGAACTGTCTTTTTGTGTATGGTAGCTCATAATAAACAACAACAACGTCCACCCAATACCATAGTATAATACTGCACTGTATTCATGGATCCAAATTACCATAAATAAGAATAAGAACCATGACAATCACGGTATAATAGGAAGTATCCTGAAAAAATAAGGAGGTATTTTGACCTAACATGCAACACCATGAATGCTATGCATTGTTAATAAAAAAGTTCTCTTCAAAATACCTGAAAATACATTTCTTAAAATATGGCCCCGAATCAAAGCATTAACAGCAACCTGTTAATTCACTTATATAAGCCACTTACAATAATACAAAAGCTATCACATTATCATCTACAATAAATAAATCACCAAAAATGATTTGATCAACCCTTCAGTTACATATTAGAATGTATGTAGATCACTCCATTTTGGTCCTTCTCAATCAATGACGCATCACTCCCAAGTCTATGGGTCTGATTAAGGTGAGACTAATGCTATGAATTTATGTCCAGTTTGTATCACATTTACAAACATACATGTAAAATGTCTATATACATGTAATTAGTCAGTTGACTTGTTTTACTTGGCAAAGTTGCCCACCATAAATAATTCAAATCACAACACAATCAATAATTCTTGTAGTGCTGTGATTACAAGAATACTACTCGGACCTCTGATTTCATATTTCTTGACAGGTTAGAGTACTAAATACATTACATATTGTTTTGTGCAAATTGATCTCATTCCTTGTTTAATTTTGTCCCTTTCATTTCAATTGTCAAAGTAAACATGACCATCATTGATTGTGTTCTCAGAATAAACAAGACAATCAAACTATTTTGGCATAGCTACAAATAACTGTTTCCCTCTTATGCAATAATCCAGTAAAAATCTCATCTGAAGATTTGCACCTATCCCATAATTTCTTACAAACAGAGACCTCTATAGTCTTGGTGTGGTAGTTGCAGGTGCTGCTGTGGCTGGATTTGATTTGACAGGCAGCACATGTGTGGAGAAGAGAATGATAAGAGTTATTACGAGGATCACAATAATGGCGATAACAGCAATGCAGATATTCATCTTCATGTTAGCGCACCACATCTTCCTGTGAACGCGTCGTGCTGTTTTACGGAACGTGGCAGACTGAAAAACAGAAATATCTTTAGCTTTATTCATTAGCTATTACAAATTAGCAAGGTAAAAAATGAAGTTCAGTTATGTTACAAGGCTCAAATGTAGATATCTCAAAAAAGTTCAAATCTTGATCAGTGTACAGCAATCAGTTCCAAAATCCTAAACGAGGTTCAAAATTAATCCTTACATTACATGATTGTATAATGCAAAATTTACATAATATCTACGTATTATGAAATCTTCCCTTGCTATATTTAATAAAAAGAATTGTAACTATGCTGTTATGACCTACATTGGCTTCCAAGTCTGTTGTTTTATCCAATAGATCATCCAGTCTTTCTCCTCTGTCTAGAACCTTCTCTATATTCTGTGTCATGACTCCCTTCACATCATCTACCTGCTTCTGCAGTGTTGACACAGCATCACCCCCTCCTGATGCATTGGAGAATTTCTCCTGGAAATACACACAAAAAGCTGAATCACAAAACATACCATATCAGAGAGCCCTAATGGCAGATTTAATTTTGTCTTTTCATCAATAGTTTTTAAGGGTGTATTTTTGAAATCACAAAAATATATCCGGGGCCAAGTCAGAAGATGGTAGAAGATTAAGTCTTGCATTTTCTAAAAATATAAACAAGGCACATGATGTGACGTGAACGAGATCACACCATCAAATAACTTTCAAAATGGCCGCCAGAAAAATGGTTGCACAGATGTTAATCAGTTAGAATTTGATATCCTCTATCATGTGTGCAAATTTGGAGACAAACGACAAGTGGTTTTCCTGAAATGACAATGACAAGATTTATCGGAAAAGCTTCAAAATGGCCACCAGAAAACAAGATGGCCACCCAAAAGCTAATCAGCTCTAGAACTTGATAGCCTCTATCATGTGTGCAAATTTGGAGACAATCCGACAAGTGCTTTTCCTGCAATGGCGATAACAAAAAAGCGGGATGATCACGATAATGATCTTGACGACTATGACAACTATATCCCACTGATGGTGTGATAAAAAAACTACACAATATAATTATACAGTTGCTTAGAAACCTGACATGGGGAGGTTAGTGAGCAAGCTTATGTTACCCCTTTTAATAGTTTGATTTCATTTTCTTTAAAAGCAACCATTGTTTCATCAACATTTCCACAAAAAGATGTCAGTTGATTGAATCATGAATGCAAATTCATTGAATACTGGAGTCTGTTCAGTATAATAGTAATTCTGATTCATTGCATCATTATGTCCTTCATTCCTAGCTTTATTAGAAAATCATCATAAAAGATGCTTTCTAGTTAATTATCCAGGGGGAATGCTGAAATCCAATCTCAGATATCTTAGACATAATAACATCCAGTGCTCCTTATTAAATTCCATCCCTTGATAAACATTACTTACACTTTTCCTCTGATTTGAGTCATATAAACAAGAACTTGCAAGAACTAGCATGAAGCTAAAACTCTGAATTATGAGAAGGCATAAAATATTGATATTTCAAAGTCTTTTAGAGTTATTGTTTAAAACGGTTGGTAGTGTTTAGCAAGGGGAGGTAATGGGTGCCTGGCCTGAGTACAATAACAAGGAGAGATTACACATTAAACTAATCCATTCTGACTATAAATCGTAAAAAACAATGCTATAAAATAGCACTACAATTAAGATTACTCTGGCATATTTAGTCAAAGAATCTAACATGAAGTCCTTACATAGCCCATCAATCTAACATACAACTTTGCAAGAGAAGGGGAATTAATAATGGGAAGTGGGAGACAACAGGCCTGTGATGCAGGACTGTAAATTAAATGATTTTATTTCAAACTCAATAAGAAACACTACTCGCCTCACTTCTTCAAACTTCTAACTGGAAAAATAATGCAATGAAGAAATGTAATTTTTTGGGTGAGTGCAATATAAAGATTTAGGATTCTTTCAAGAAGTGTCTCGTGATTTTTGGCCAATGTCTCAAGATATGCAGATATTTGAACGTGAATTTAGCTAGAATATATAGAATTACGTGATTTTATCGATGTCTTCAACTTGTTATCAATCAAAATAGAAAACAAAGCGAACATACAATTTTCCCCCATTTTGCTCAGTTAATACAATCATTCCACTCAATAAAATATGATACACACTTTATTCCATTATTATTTCTCTGGTAATAAAGAACTTATTGACCTGGTATGGTTAAATAATGGGTTCTATTCCCAGGGAAATATGATATTTTTCCCTGGAAATATCATAAAGGCCCTCAGAATAAAACCCATATTCAAGTCTCTTTCGGTTTAGTTATAATGAGAGTGTTACAATTGGGTTTGCTGCAATGCATAAGGACCAATGCCCAACAAGAACGACCTTGACCTTAATCAAACCAATTTCTTCTTATGTTTTACATCTTCATTTGGAAACTTTTCATAAGGGTTGATTATAGAAAAATCACTTATACGTTAGCAATACTTGTAATCTTTTGGCAGACGGTGATCCATCAAAATGTGTCTAACAGAAGCTTATTCTAATATTGACACAGACAAACTTTTCCATCTTGTTCTAGCAACATATTCATGACATGGCCACTAAAAGGACAACTGTATATAAGTTATGTTCATAAATTATAGAGTAAGTAAGTAAGTAAGTAAGGTATTTATTAGAGTCTCACGCTGTACAATTTAAAATACATGTTGATACAATTGATTAAAACAACAGCTCAGCCGGCTCCGGCTTATGAGAGACTTAAAGATCGAATAGTTCTATGAGTATAAAATGTCTAAAAATGTGAATCTAATATTGCACCTTGTATTATATTACACTTCATAGCATCTTCGTGTTATCATGATTTTATTTATTGTTTTCGCTATTAGTCTTTGTACTGATATAGTGTTCATCATTGTGCAATATTTGCCCATGCTCGATAAGTTGTTAAAGTCCGGTATTTGAAGAGCACATGCTTCTATAAGGGTTTGTCTATTGTCATCGTGTAGGGGGCAATCAATTAGGATATGGATTTCGTCTTCAACACTTTGGTTGCATAAGCATACTCTGTCGTGTAATTCGACACCTGTGAATCGCCCGGTTTCAATTTTTATAGGGAGGGTTCCTGATCGAATTCGTGCCAAGTAACTACGTTCATATTTATGCATAGGTAATTGAACGTATGGCTCAGGGGTTGTCGCATGCGGTTTATGTAGTCTATATGTTCTTAGTTTATTGCCATGTTCTTGGTTTCTTCGATCGTTCCACAATGAATGATGCCAAATTTCATGTTCAGTAGAACTCAAACGATGTCCTAGTTGTTTCAAATGTTGTTTCACATTAGAAATTTTATCCTGCGTTATTAGCATTTCAGCTCCGTTGTCTGATAGCAGAGTTTTTACTTTTGATTCCCAGGAACCGCGTAGGCTAAGTGACCAAACATGTATTTTCTTAAGTGTTCGCTGAGGGGACATGTTTTTAATGCGGCACCACATCCGTGCTGATTCGATATTGTGTCGTGTATCAATGCTTGTCCAGCACATGTCTCCTTGTACTGCCGAGTTGGGGGCATGTTGGCCCACACCAAGAAAGAATCGTTGTGCCTTGTTTTGTACAACGGTCGCAGGCGCAGTTGTCGCTTTATTAATGCCCCAAATTCCAGAGCCATACGTCAGCACCGGTGCTACGAGTGAGTCATAGACATGAGTAAATACGTCGTACGATAATCCTCCTGTTGCTCTTGACTTGGCCATTATTGCACCAAGTGCCCGTGAACCGGACTTGGCCAGCACTGTGGCGGTTGCCACCATATCCATGTGCTCGTTGAGTGTAATTCCTAGGTATTTGTAACTCGATGTATAGTCCAAATCGATATCACCACAGTGAAATTGGAAACGTGAGCGTAATGTTGTACGTGGGCGATGGTGAATCACGTTGGTCTTAAGACCGTTAACAGTCATACGCCATTTACTGCACCAAAGATTCATAGTGTCCAGCATACGTTGCAGGTTGTTTTCATTTTCAGCGATTAGCACAATATCGTCGGCGTATAATAATATCCCAACGCGCGTGTCACCTACTGGTACGCCACATGACATTGCGTCAATTTCATCGGCCAGGTCGTTTACGTAGACGGCGAACAGCGTCGTGGAAATCTTACAGCCTTGTTTCAAACCAGAGTTGACGTTAAACCATGACGTTAGAGTTCCGTTTATGCGTACAGCGTATTTCACTCCAACATAAAGTGATTGGATTGCATTTAAAATACGTCCTTTTACTCCAGCCAGAGTTAACTTGTAGTACATACACTGTCGATTTATGGTATCAAATGCACGTTTTGCGTCAACGTACGCGACGTACGTCGACTGCTTAGCACACTTACGGTTATTAATAATTGACGTTAAAGAGTATATATGATCCATGCAGCTTCGGTCGCCTCTAAATCCGTTCTGGTGATCACTTAGTTTTCGGTTAATCTCAAGCCATTGGATGAGTCTTGAATTGAGCACAGTGCAGTATATTTTGCATGGGATAGACATAAGACAAATGCCACGATAATTCATTGGTACTTTACGATCCCCAGATTTAAAAATGGGGTGGATAATTCCTTGATTCCATATCGAGGGTACCTTTCCAAGGGCAAAACATACAGACGTTATAGACAACTACAGAGAAGAAATAAAGTTGTTCAAAACTCAGATTTTGTAGCTGAACAGTTAATTTGTATGATCTTGTTTTTTACTTATTTTCGTAAATTTTGACAATTGCTTAAGCATACGCTGTACTACCTTAATTAGGTTCTGAAATAAAGCTTGCTCAAATGTCAGAGTTTGTATTGCATTTATCTAAACAGCCAATTATATGATCTCATTTTGAATGGATTATTAATATTTTCCATAAAGGAAAATGGAATGAAAATGTTCATTCTCCTTGATGCCAAGTAATGAATGGTCATATCACACACATGTATATAAAAACACATACATAAGAGAATAATGCAAAACAATTTCTTGACAAATTCCATGAAAGATCTGAAAGGTAACAATGGCTTTAACCCATGGTAAATATAGACTGATTAGTTTCTTGTCACTTGCAGGTGCTGCCACCTATTTCAGTTGCCAAGATCAACCGAGAAAGATTGATATTTATTAAAGGGACCCACCACCATGGTCACATGATCAGTCGTGTGGAGGTAAGCTCCCAGTTGAAATAAAAGCACTGTCCTCCTTTGGTTTCTGTGAAAAGTAGCTAATACCCTCATGTATTGGTCAGTTTGTGTGTCACACGACTAATCCATACCATATGCTTCATTCAACATATTTTATGCTATTGAGCTGCATAAACAGTACTTTGCAACTAGGGTCATACAGTATACTTACCCCTTGCAAATTGTAATTTATTGAATTCACAGTAAACCCATCAATTTTTAAGAAAACAAAGAATATTGTTCTCATGGATCTATTATTTATGTTAGACTAACTATGAAAATATAAATATGAAACCAGAACAACGGCAACGCCAAAGCGTAGCGAATCCCATCGAACATTTTTCAAAACGGGCACCTTCTACCAAAAGTGTCATTAGACAGTGTGCCATGCTTATAATATTCACATACCAAATATGAACAAAATCGCTCCACTACTTTTCGAGTTATAGTAAAAAACGTTAAAATGGCCGCCATTTTGAAAAATGGCCGCCTTCTACCAAAAGTGTCATTAAACAGTGTGCCATGCTGATACGTATTCACGTACAAAAATATGAACAAAATCGCTCCACTACTTTTCGAATTATAGTAAAATAAGTTAAAATGGCAGCCATTTTTCAAAATGTCCACCATTTTTCAAAATGGCCGCCTTCTACCAAAAGTGTCATTAGACAGTGTGCCATGCTTACAGTATTCACATACCGAATATGAACAAAATCGCTCCACTACTTTTCGAGTTATAGTAAAATACGTTAAAATGGCGGCCATTTTGAAAAATGATCGCCCTCTACCAAAAGTGTCATTAGACAGTGTGCCATGCTTATCCGTATTCACATACCAAATATGAACAAAATCGCTCCACTACTTTTCGAGTTTTAGTAAAATAAGTTAAAATGGCGGCCATTTTTCAAAATGTCCGCCATTTTTCAAAATGGCCGCCTTCTACCAAAAGTGTCATTAGACAGTGTGCCATGCCTATAGTATTCACATACCAAATATGAACAAAATCGCTCCACTACTTTTCGAGTTACAGCAAAAATCGTAAAATAACGAGTAAAGGCCGCCATTTTTCAAGATGGCTGCCATGTGCTTTTTTAATATCTACATTTCTAGCTTTATTAATGTCCTATATAATTTTTTTACATTTAAAACATATTGCTATTACAGTTTTACATATTGCACCTAAATTACTGTAAAATCGGCACTAAAATGGCCGCCATTTTTAAATGAGCGGCCATTTTGAAAATCGGCTTTCGAGCAGAACTTCTACCTCCATAGGGTATATGTGTACAAAATATGAATAAAATCAGGCCAACGGTATTTGAGTTATTGCCCGGACGGACAGACGGACGGACGGACGGACGGACGGACGGACGGAGGCGTTCCCTATATCCCTCCGAACTTCATTCGATGGGATAATAATATGTTAGCTTGAAGTCATATATAAGATGAAAATATATGTTCATGCATTTGCATTTTTCCAAAGGGAATATTCCCATGTAAGTAAATACAGGTGAAATATATAATTTATATGTATATCTATGTCATCTGTCTATACATGCGCGTATAGCTTAGTGTTACATGTGAACAAGATGGTTCTGGAAAGAAATGAGCGTGGCAGATTTGCTAAAAAGCCACATACACCACAGAAGCAAGACCAATTTGAAAGTAAGTTCATTATTCTCAAGGGTACACTTCAAGTGAAAGCTACATTGCTACAGGATGGCCTATCATTCTGAGACAAATGTATTATCCAACGATTGTGATTTTCGAAGCTAAAATATGATATCTTGAGCAGATGGAAATACATTCCCATGAGATATGTATATAGTCAAAAGTGATAACTATTTATTGAGTGTAATGAAATGTATCCTTCGCTAACTGCTTTTGTTTGAGATAATTATCATGAAATATTTTTAAATTAATTTTTATGTGTGTCATTGATCCTAATCCACCCTGTAGTCTGGTGTTTGTAGAGCATTGCGACTCGTACAACTTATTCTCACAAATATCAAACCTCATTTACTAATTAATTTTTTGTGTGAATATGAAGAGTCCAAGCATTGGTTTTTTATGTTTATTGTATAGCTATATTTAGCCTTGATATCCATGATTTTTTAAAACAAAATCTCACCGTTAGATTTCGAGCTATTCATGTTTACTCATTTGTCTAATTGGAAAACAATGCAAATCTCATTTTTTCAAAAGAAAAAAATTGAAATTCTAAGACGGTGAAAAATCATTAAAAAATACACAGATTCAGAATCCGGCAAGCATTTTCCCTTATTCCTCTCCGTTAAGAAGTTTTGTAAGGTGTTGGGTCCCTTTAACATATTTACAAGTTCTTTTCATATAAATAACAGTGATCCAAAATTGGTCAAAATATGCCAATTTTCCATGGTTTTCTCATTTTCAAGTGGGTGAAAATGGATTCTTAGGTGGGTGCAAGTTGATTATCATTTCAGGTGGGTGCTGCGCCCACTTGCTTTAATGCTGGGGAGATCACTGCATATTTTAAACAACTATAAATTAAATACAACTATTGATTTTCTGGATGAATGTTTGATACAAGAATTTACTTTATTCATTTCAACCCACAACTTGTCCAAAATTTGACCAGTAGATCTAAAATTCTTCTGCCATAGCCTTGTATTGTACACAGATAATGCAATTTGATCTCACCATGTTAGATGCCATGACTTGAGCAAAGTCTCTGTTCAGCTCATTCTCCAGTGCAAACTGAGCTCTTTCTCCTAAACTTCCACCCTGGAACCTACGCTTGATCTGAAAAAAAGAGACATTTCTTAGATTTCTTGTATTTTATAATTGCACTTTTTCAAAATAAATTATTAAATGTCAATTGTCTGTTTAAATACAATGGCTTCAACATTTAATTGTATATTTTGCTGCAAAGATGAACTAAAAAAAGGAATTATAAAAAGGCAGGAAAAAGGTTTGACAAATGAATATGGCAACAAATTCAAAATAAATACAGCAAATTCAAAATAAATTATGTGTAAAAATAAATTCTCAGAAAAAATTTGATTTCATTTTTTTCAAAAATTTTCATATTTTTAAAAAAATTTATTTTTTCAAAAAATTTCACATTTCAAAAATTTTTACTTCAAAATTCTCTCATTCAACACAGGATTTTAGTTAGATATTGCTTTTGACCATGGTATAAGGTTGTTATTCACCTGTCGGGATGATATGGGGAATATCCTTGTGATATTCCTCATATCAAATCCCTCCTGGTGAATAACTTCTTTTTATTACGCTCTGTCCAGGACAGATAACTTTACAGTTTTAATGATGGTAAGATCTTAATGACAACAAGCTTAGATGTCATGGCCTTTCAAAAGATTTCAATAAAGCCTTATATTCACTGCAATTCTGATTGGATAGCTCACTTTTGACTGAGCTGATCTGATTGGCTACCTAGATAAAAAGGACTTTCTGTTCTTCTAAGAGTATGGATGGAACTTTGTGAAATCAAATTTGAAGAGGTTACACCACAAGCATATGTATAATCTTTTAGAGAATAAAAAAATTAGATTTAGTTTGAACTAAAGCCTATGATGAAAGCCACTACCACAGTAATATATCAAAGCAATTTGTGGACTTTGTATTTGATAAAACACAAGCATTAATTACTTGATCTTCAATAATACGATATTGCGAATAAAAGTCGATGTTGTCATAAACTCTTTATAGCACTGTTCTTAACTGCGCAATATGACTCTGATGTAAGGCAATGATTGTCTTCTGATGAATGTAGCATTTAAGAAGGTGAAGGGCTGTACCCCTGGACTTAAATAAATAGAACTTGTGAAGTATTGCATTTCATTTATTAATTTCAAGTAAAGAGAATGAGAAATACATATTTAGGATCAAAGACACCCTAATGGGCATAATATCCACACAGTTTGAAAATCAAAATGATTAATATACCAGGGGAGTAAGTCACCCCCTCTAATATTCTCCATATTAAATATAGAGCATATAAGATGGAGGGGTGGCTTACTCCCCATGAAATAAACAAAAATGTGTTAATAGTTATCTCTGATAAAGCACTCCCCTCCTCCCTTAACTTTAACTTCCACACCATCATATTACTATTGAAAGTGAGATTGATAGATGATTTAGGCCTAATGTTACTCTACGTATCCCCCTCACAGTTGAAGCCTTTGTTCAGGACTTACCTCTGTCAAGTAACCATATGGCTGCCTCTTGCCAAAATTTGGGTCAGCAGCACACATGTATATGAGTCCATTCTCTATGATGCAGTGGAACAGATAGCTATAAACAAGCATGCACTATTTGAAAATATAAAACTATTAAAACACAATATCAGGTATCAGGTTAATATTTTGATGTTGTCACAAAACATGAGTAACTGTATTTCAAATTGAGCTCACTGGCCCTCTTACCCCCTAAAATGCAATAAATCAGATCAATTGACATAAAAATGCAATAGGCTATTACCCCCTCCAAAACATGATTATGTTTTGGGCATGATTGTGTTTTTAGGCATGATTATGTTGTTTGGTATGATTTTTGGGTGTATATACAGAAATATTGACCTGGTCCCTAATCATCTACTACTATCAAAACAATCAATGAATGATATCATATAAATGAGACAATTTGATAAAATATATCCTTGGGGAAGATAGATAGTTTTAGATACTATATGGTATCTTTCCTGAAACACTGAATCTTTTTCCTTTTTTGTGGGGGTGTATGATTGTACCCCCATCACACCCCCTGGCTATGTCCATGACTCCGATTATGTAACTAACTTGAGATATTACTTACTCAAAATACATTATCCATTGGAAAACTACTGTTTCTTAATGCAATTATAAGAACTAACAAAGTTGATTGAACTTAATAGTATATAATATACAGGGTGGTCCAAAAAAATGGGACACTCGTATTTCAAAAATAAATATTGATTTTCTTTATCTTGATGAAAACGTGACATATTATGTACCAATGGATAGGGAATTTACACATCTATAATCTATAAGTTTTATTGTCAACTTTATTTACATAAACAGACCTTCAATATGTCAAATGCTATTGACCAGTTTAGGCCAAAATTGATGGCTACAATTGATCAAAATGGTTGACATATTGAATGTCAGTTTATATAACTAAAGTTGGCAATAAAACTTGGTTTTTGCAAGTTTTGGAAAACCCGTTTTGAAATAAAAAAAATGACATCATTTATATTATGGATGCTGGTTGATAGACATTATAATAAATTTGAACTTTATACCAAATTAAAGATGAGTAATTCCCTATCCATTGGTATATAATATGACATGTTTTCATCGAGAAAATCAATATTTATTTTTGAAATGCGAGTGTCCCATTTTTTTGACCACCCTGTACACATAAGTAATACATCATTCATCTTTCCAATGAATCATGATTAAAATAAAACTGAGGACAACAGCTATACAAATGCTTTCTCTTATGATATATACAACATAAAGTCTCAGATATGGTAAAACCTATGAAACCTATGTTCACCTACAGAATTGTCTGGGTTCATGAAATTTATTTTGTAAGAAAAAAAGACATGAAAAGATCCATTTTTGTCAACTCCTGGTTCAATTGTTGATAATCATATCGACTCAAGTTTTGTTTTCAACTGCTATTCTACGTATATCTGAAATATTTAAATGCAAGTTGATTTTCTCTTCAGAGCTGGGTCTGAAGTCGCAATATGGTCTAATTAATGCTTACGTCACCGACGTGAGTCCCTTAACTGTCCTCAAGGTGTTCATTCATACAGGTTTTACCATATACAGATTTGAATATGGTGCATAACTTACTTGTCTGAAGTGTATGTTGTCTTTGTATCAGACCTTGTAGGAATGTTTCTCAACATATCACTTGCAACAGATTCAAAACTCCCTGATCCTATCTGGTGGCTACACAGAATGACTGCTCCCCTTGCGATACAACTGTAGACGATCGTCATCTTGTGATTGTTGATGACTGGCTTCAGAGGTTCTAAAAGTAAACACACATTCTTAAACTTGTGTCTGACTTCAGAATCAGATTGTGCCATGCTCATGTCTCTCAGTTCAGGTTTCTTGTTTTTTAAAACTCACAGTAGACTGTGTTCTTCCTCATCGAAAGTAATGGAAGAATAGGACAGATAGTAGTTGTACATCCTGAGAGAACTGAGAACTCTACCATCAAGATTGCTTCAAGATACTGACTTAATAATAGGTTTATAAGACTTAGATTAAGCATATCTAGTATTAGTTTAGTATATAGGGGGTCATGTGAAAACGTCAGTTGTCAAAAACACCAAATAACTTGAAATTAGAAAAATCAAATTGATGAGATTTTTCATTGTTCTCTGACAATTATTTTAGCACTCCCAGTTCAGTATGAAAGTTCAGTTAAAGCAAAGTTTTTATAGATTTGGAGGAGCTGGAGGATATAAATATATAAGATTTTCCCTCATTAAATAGTATTTTTGTCTGTAATATAATTCAGAAGATCTAATGCAATCTTTACTTGGATAATAACTTCCTAAATACATTATATGCTGTACATTTAATTGCAAATTTATAAATTTAGAGCCACTCGCAACATTTTGTATCGTACTCTCACACTACCTACTGACCTGCTGAATAATAAGGCTACAACATTCTTTAACATTTTTTCACTAATGCTGACCAAAATTAATAGAGAAAGGAATGATGATTTTTAAAAGTATAGAGCTGCATCTTTGTAATGAAATATTTAGTTATACATGTAATAGCATACCACCGCTGATGCCATAGTCAATTCTGCATATTTGATTCTGGAGTTGTTTATAAAAAATCAAATCTGTATTTTGGAGATCCACAGTGTTCTGTCTTAAAACTAATAAAAGCAAATTCATATTGCATATCAAACAAGTAATTAATACCTCATTCTATAGTGGAATTACGTGTCTGCTATTTTTATTGATTTTGGTTGAAATAAAACAGACAGAACATCTTATATTTCATATAATTTTATGAAAAAATAGTATTGATTTGTAAGCTTCAAAACTTATCAATGATAGTATTCATCTTGTCTGATGTAAATACAAATTGACAGATGCTAGGTCATAATGTTAGCTTGTCCTGTATATTGCTAGTATGACATTGAGCATACATGGACATATATTATTAATCACAATCTAACCGGAATACAGTGACTTTGGGCAACGTGATAGCCTTGACATTCACCCTGACTGGTGAGTGTTCTCCCAAGGATTTTTCTCATATATGCTTATGTACAATTCTTATCATTTTCAGTTCTGGTCCAAATATGCCTATTTCTGATGATAATTTTTATTTTCAAGCGGGTGCAAATGGAGTTTAAGGTGGGTCCAAACTAGGGATGGGACGGTTCGTTTCGGTTCGGTTCGGTTCGGTTTTTCGGATCATCAGCCGTCGGTTCGGTTTTTTCGGTTCGGTTCATTCATTTTAAGGATTTGTATTGATTGACATGATTAGCCGCTTTGTATCTGACTTCACTGCTGACTGTCACTTTCTTAATCTTCATTTCTTTTGGGAAAACGGGAATTTGAGATCCAGACGCCATATTTGAATGTATTGTGGGTGCGCACAAAATAATACCCTATATCGAACCTGCGCAAATATAGATTTGCGCAAATCTTTGTATCAATTATGCCACGTTATAACAATATTTTATAGATGGAATTTTATGTTATAGTATTTCATGAAACAATACATATTATTTAGAATACACGAGTAAAGATTATAGTACCAGGGACCACATGATTGATTACCAGGGATACGAATACGCAGATACGAAACGAATCTAGTAAACGAGTGAGCTAGCAACAGACAAGACAGACAAGGTAGGGACTAGGAATATCAAAAATGTTGCTGTAAAACAGTGTTTTTAACTGTTTTATTGATACTTGACCAATGAAATATTAATCCGAAAACGATCCGAAAAGCTGATCCGAAAGTAGGGCCGTGATCCGAAAACCGATCCGAAGGCTATGAACCGCGGTTTTTCGGTATTTCGGTTATCCGTCCCACCCCTAGTCCAAACTTATTTCCCCAAAACTAGGCATAAGTCATTGACCTATATCAAAGTGTGTGGCCTCTTATATTTGGATGCTTCTCTTTCATGTTATTTTCAATAAGATTAACATGGCTGAAATTCTTTTTTTCTGCCTCTCAGACTCGGCCTATGTTCCAGTTCACTCAGGATTTGACAGTAAAAATTGCTTTTTTATGCATATCAAATATTTTACCTAGTTTAACTTCAAGCCCTTGTAACCCTACCCCCTAGGAGCTGGGATAATTGTTCATTTCACGGTTCGCTCTTTGAATCTGAACATTCGCAATTGTGGAGCAAACATGTACTCAAAAGGGACTAAATTTGATTGGTCAATATTTTCCCATTATGCATTTCGCGTAGCTATTGCGTGACCGAAAGTTCTAAATCAAACTAATTACGCAAATTTGTTTTTATACCTGCACGCTAAATAAAACAATGACACCATCGGAAGTATTCTTCTTTGTCATTGTTTTTATAGTCAGTATACCAAGTTTAATCAATAAAAGATAATAACAATAAAATGATAACGATGCGTCTTCTTTGGTCAACTGCTCAGTTGTTTGTGGGTTTTCAACATAACTCTATAATGTAATCTTAAGATGAGTACTTTTATTCAGTTGTTGCATCGATGTTGCAGTTTGTAGTGTGGTAATGTGACCTTCTCTTCCGGAATATTTTCTCACTTTTCAATCATAGTTTTCACCACGCTATGAATGAATATACTGAAAAAATATCTGTTTTATTAAGATTAATAAGAGATCAATCGTTTCTGATAATTTTTTCTGTGCTCTTGTACGGGAATATGAACGAATTTATCGTTTGAAAAATAGGTGTGAAAATCCCCATATTAAACATGTGGGGGAAAACAAGGAAGTATAAATTTGTTCCTCCGCGAACTGCATCATCGGAAATGTTTTGACCTTATAAGGAAAGATTTTTGCATCTCCTCTTTTGAAGAGGGAACTCAATTAAATGGCTAAAATGCTCAAATTAAATGGTGTATTACCAGTGAAATAGGGTACATAGGCCCAGAAACATGAATAAAAAAACGAGTTTGAGTGCCTGAATTTATTTCAGTCAGACAGTCTCAGATTTCAAAACAGTGTTTTTCTCGACAATGCTCCTAAATAATGCAATAAAATAGTGAGCATATTTACATATCTCTAACCATTCTGAATGGAATGGCCTTTGAACGTTACATGTGATTTCTTCTGCTATTTTATGATGTTATATTACACTTTTGGTGTCAACATTATCCCAGAGATCACGATAGTTGAAAATACTTGTAATACTAAGCCATTGTGGCTAATTCTTCAAAAAACTTTTTAGCCAACCAAAATATGAATTAGCCATTTTGACCGAAAAAAATTAAACACTTCTAATGACTGTTTTCCTTTTAAAAAATGGAATTAAATACTCACAGAATTTGCGTTTAAGATTGTTAGGCATTTTTTATGGACACAACTACCCCGGAGTGAATATACAGATACATGATGACACGCCACAATACTGATAGAGTTCTACTGTGAAATAGCATAGTGTGTAAAATTAATATATGTTGCGTCATGAGTGACCAGAAATCTACTTTTCCGAAAAAGTTTTCTTCTGAAAAGTCGTTCAAATTCAACATTTATGAAGTTGTTTGGTGAGTAAATCGGAAAAAAGTGAATTCCCCATAACTGCGAAATACCTTTACATATTTTTCGCCACCTCTTTCGAAAATTCGCGATTGTCGAACGATGATCTCTGATTATCCCCAATGACATTACCCTCCTTCATCCTAGATAGAGAATATATGAATAACCTTAAGTACCGTTTCAACCGTCGAAAGTTATATTATTCATTAGAACTATGTTTACATAAAACTCAGTGAGTCATTTGATTCATGTGATGTTGATATTTGATTGATATTTATTTCATTCAAATATTTTTCTTCCTGACCTTGTTTTTAACATTTTCTTGAAAAGAATATCATATTTTGCTCATCCCTGATTAAGATACTTACTTTTCTATATTTGAGTGACTTAAATAATGTTGTTTAAGTCTAAATAAGCTGACAAAACAAGTTATAGTAGAAGATTGGAGGCGTTTCTTCCTTGTTTTTCCATATTCTCGCAAAATGTCATACCGCGAGAGTTATAATTTGACCAATCATAGCCTTCGGAACAGTTTTAAGATGGTTTGAAAGATCTATTTCTATTGGACAAATTCGTAGCTGTCCTTGGCTGAAGAAAACACAAAGACGAGTTTCATGCAAATCTCCTGATTAATTTCAAGATTTTGACGCTCATAGGATATATAACACAGATATATTTGAGGTGAGTACAGAACTGAAATTGAATGACGAAGAACACTCATATTTGAAACTTTTTGAGCAATTGTTGTCTGCACTCCTTGACTCTGAATCAAAAATCTGAAATTTTTTCGAAGTTTTTATTTCGTGAATCGTCTCATCTATTTCTGCAGTGGCAGCCTAAATGATCTAGAATCTTACTTAAAGTGACAGGCATACATATAGACAATCTACATCTATTAGATTCAAACATTGAATTCAGACATTGGATATACAGTTGGGGACAAAAATAAATGACAGGTCGATTTTCGATCACCATTTCCTAATTATGGTGGTCTGAAAGCCCATAATTTCCAATATTGTCTAGATATATAACCCTTAAAATTTGTATATTTTACATTTTGTATAATCTCATCCACTGATGTATGGCCTCTTGTAAATTCTCTTATTTTTAACATGGGAAATCCTCACTTCAGCAAATCCACCTGTCATTTATTTATGTCCCCAACTGTACTTTGATATATGCAACATGTTATTGACCTATGGATATTAGACTACACTTTACAAAGCTTACACTCATACTACTTTTTGCAAGGCCTGACTTCGTCGCTAACATGCTAAATATAAGAGTTAGCTGACGTTTGGGAGTCTGACTTACCTTCTAAAGGTTAGAACCCGAATCTTAATGAAACCATATCACCTTTGTTCCGTCAACCATGGAGCATTTGCCACAACATCCAAGAGGTAAATCATGGACCGAGAAAATGAATGATTTCCTTGTAAGTTCCGGAAGTTTCAATACGAAAAATTACCGAACATATATGAAAACCGAATATTTGTTCGTTGTTTTCACGATTTACAGGTTCGTATGTTCTTCAATGTTTTGGTCTAAATTATAAAGCATCACCAACAGGTCTTACTCTATTAATCGACTAATACAGCAGACGGCTCATATTTCTACGTAGCATTTCGTTCAGACAAATAGTGGGACTGTAGATCACGCAGTTTCGTTCGTTGCGTACTTCACTCGAAATTGGTAATTTTATATTGGCTACTTCACTTAGCTTGGCGGATGTAGAACATTGCTTAATATTCTTTTAATTTTCACACCAGACATGCTTGGTTGACACGTCAACAAAGTAAAGTTCAAGGGTCAATGCGTTATTTCGTGATAACTACAACGCCTTCCCGAAAGTCAACATTGATGAAAAATGAAAAAGTCGGAAAAGCATTTACACTAATTTCTATCAAATGCTATGTTTATGCATCATCATCGACGCAACAAAGGTGATATGGTTTCATTAAGATTCGGGTTCTAACCTTTAGAAGGTAAGTCAGACTCCCAAACGTCAGCTAACTCTTATATTTAGCATGTTAGCGACGAAGTCAGGCCTTGCAAAAAGTAGTAGGCCCTGGGAACATGTATAAAAAATCGGGTCGACATCTGTAGAAGTAAGAAGTAATACAGATGTCGTCTCGATTTTTTTATACATGTTCCCGGGGTCTATGGTTACAAGTTGCAAGAGTGATGATGTTCAAAGCTTCCCTTTGGCAAATGCTGCCTCCTCCCCCGGTAAATCCTGGCTATGGGACTGGTTCACATGTATGTCATGACACCTGACTATTATTATTACTGATTATTATTTATTCAACTTCTTTATGCAATCTTGAGTAAAGAAGGTATCTGACTTCTAGGTATTTTTACCAATTTCAGTCCACTCCCAAATTAAGGTTAATTTTTCTAAATTATCCAGTAAAATTATGTTATTCTATTGTATATGTCATTTTTGAACTTGAACTAAATACCTTGTTATGACACATTTTACTCTAAAATTATATACATTTTTTCTAATTTTCTTTATATCCTCTTTATTTAGATATGATAATCTTGTGAATTGCTAGAATAATTTAGCTAAGATCTAGAAACAAAGGTAAACATGACATACAATAAGCATATGCGAGTAGGTAGTTACAAGTTTCACCATTAGGTAGCTCATTTTGGCCAGATAGCATGGTGGGTATAGTAGAAAGTTCCCTTTAACTTAAATATTCATCAGTTTTAGTCGTTCAATTTTCATATCATGGTTATGTATCTTATAGTTAGCAAATAAAAATGTGTCCAGCAAAAGAAAATATTATCTGTCCAATAAAAGAAAAGATATTTCACTGAGGAACTGACTAGTGTTGTCGCGATGTGCCATAATCGTACATCGATGCATCGGCAATTTTCAGTAGTAAACATCGATGCACATCGCGATGTACATCGAGAAAAAGTCTGAGAAAAGTGCACTGAAATACCGAACGCTAATGCACTAAAATACCGAACATCCGGTACATCCGGGGACTTCTAGTAAGGGTGAAATGAAAGTAAAGTAATTTTTTTAGATTAATGGTTCATTTCGACTAGCTAAAACAGTTTTAAAGCGAAAGAGTATCAGAAAACATTGGAAAATGAAATAAGACATGAGAAAGGTAAGCGATTTGCGTCAAAATAAGATAAGAAAGGGTGATTTTTAGCAAATTAATTTTTTTTAAAAACATCGATGTTTTGTTTCAGACATCGATGCATCGCCAGAATCAGCTTTGGCGATGTATATCGCGATGTATCGATTAATCGCGACAACACTAGAACTGACCTTAACTTTTTAACAAGTAGCAAGGATTTGCTACCTTCTACAAAAACAAGTAGCAAATTGCCATATTTAGGTAGGAATTAAAATTTCCGATTATTTCCCGCCTTGTTGCACTGAATGAAACAACCATTTTTGATGCAGGAGAATTTGTGGTTTTTCAATCTAAAATCCGCATGTTTTCATTGAAAATAAGAGAATTAATTGTCTAGAAGAAGTTTTCGAAGTTGATAATTTTCGAAACCATATTACCAGATGTATATTTACATGTACAGAGATTTCAAATATGACATCACTTTGAATTTTGGTTATTTAATGACATCAATCAAGATTATTCCTACTTGCATCTAGTCCATTCAAAACATAGTCCAAAAGGGAATATTTATTGCTTAATCTGTCAAAGCTAGAACAACTTAAGTTATATTGCACAATTTCATTTAGGCACTTTGCTGCTTGAGAAATAACATTTTAAATTGCATGGCCAATGGTCATTAGGCTTGGACTAAGGATGATCTAAGTTATGTGTGTGTTTTACCTTACAAAATTACATATAATGATTTTTGTGTGAATTACTGTTAAACAATGTTAAAGATGTACCTTTATAAAAATAATGATGAACATTATTTTATCATATAATTTTGAAGTGACATAATCAGAAAAGTATTGTTGGAGGCCCACTTAAACATCACTGTTTACAATCTTATGTCTATACACGTAAGAAATATGACCACAGGCTAAAAAACAACCTTATTAAGGCTATATTAATGAAGTTTTGAACTATTATGTTATTAAAGAAAGGATGGGAATTAATTTTTTATTATATCTTTAAACATCAAACATCTTTAATATGAAATATGTAAGATTAATTCAAAGTTTTCTATTAATGTTGCATAGACCATAATAATCATTAAGTGTAAATTGACAATTTTAAGCAAATGGTAAGTACAGGTAGAGCCAAAAAATGTTAACTCAGTCATCCAGCATGGGTTTAACATCATATTTAGCACAATTGACCTTTTGTGATCAGATTTTTGTCTTATTGGTATGACATCATTTTAAAATAATATTAGACTTGATGGAGAGAGGAAATGGCAGACATGTGGCAGTTTTGAGCTGAAATGATTATTGCTTCTATTATGCAAACTATAGGTTTTTTACCAGGTACTAGCATGTTGATTTGATTAGATCATGATAATTAACTTCATATGAAATAAATCCCTACTCTGAAGTCTACTTTGAAGTATCTCTTGCATATAATGGGCCATTTTTACTCTCTAGCATTTATATATGGTATCTTCAGCTTATAATGAGGAATCTCTGCTCTCTTGGCTTTCTAGCATCTTTATGTGGCATCTTCAGCTTATAATGAGGAATCTCTGCTCTGAAGTCTTATTTGAGGTATCTCTAGCATATAATGAGGCATCTTTACTCTAGCATCTATATGAGGCATCTTCAGCTTATAATGAGGAATCTCTGCTTTGAAGTCTTATTTGAGGTATCTCTAGCATATAATGAGGCATCTTTACTCTCTTGGCTTTCTAGCATCTATATGAGGCATCTTCAGCTTATAATGAGGAATCTCTGCTCTGAAGTCTTATTTGAGGTATCTCTAGCATATAATGAGGCATCTTTACCCTCTTGGCTTTCTAGCATCTTTATGTGGCATCTTCAGCTTACAATGAGGAATCTCTACTCTGAAGTCTAATTTGAGGTATCTCTAGCATAAAATGAGGCATCTTTACTCTAGCATCTATATGAGGCATCTTCAGCTTATAATGAGGAATCTCTGCTTTGAAGTCTTATTTGAGGTATCTCTAGCATATAATGAGGCATCTTTACTCTCTTGGCTTTCTAGCATCTTTATGTGGCATCTTCAGCTTACAATGAGGAATCTCTGCTCTGAAGTCTTATTTGAGGTATCTCTAGCATATAATGAGGCATCTTTACTCTAGCATCTATATGAGGCATCTTCAGCTTATAATGAGGAATCTCTGCTTTGAAGTCTTATTTGAGGTATCTCTAGCATATAATGAGGCATCTTTACTCTCTTGGCTTTCTAGCATCTTTATGTGGCATCTTCAGCTTACAATGAGGAATCTCTGCTCTGAAGTCTTATTTGAGGTATCTCTAGCATATAATGAGGCATCTTTACTCTAGCATCTATATGAGGCATCTTCAGCTTATAATGAGGAATCTCTGCTT